TCCAAGAAACCCTACTTTTACTTCTACCTCTAGGTTGCTCAATCACTTTTCTCTTGTCTAAAATAATTTTGTCAGGATTCTTAGAAGAAACCATAGACTGAAAGGAACACAAAGAAGAAGGGTGGATAATCGAGCCACAATTAGAACAAGGAGTTGGTTTCCAGTTATAAACAACTTTTAAAGAAATATTAGTAACAACAATTGAAACATTAAACTCATCTGAAAGATGAGAATCATTGTCAACCAAAACTCAGACCCCAACAAAAGTCAGTCGACGCTGATCCGCAATAAGCGAATCAAACCGCAATTGGGACCCATTTAAACTAGCTATTTTAGAAATCCCTTCAGATGATCAAACAAACTAAATGAAGTTTCACAATTTTAATCCAAAGAGGAATTGAGGTGAATTTCTCCCTTTTAGGTCTAAAAAGAGGCAATTATTTTTGAACAATAAACAAACAACTAAAGAAAAACCAATGTCCTACTGTCCATACAAGATTGTAGTCTTTTGGACAAGAGAATTTAATCAAGAAGAAACCATTATTTAAGAATAAAAGAGTAAACAAATATTTAGGCTTCCAGGGTTTAACCATCACAAAGCGAAGGACCTCAAAGAAAGGCCTCTTACCTAACAAGTAGCTTACCATAGTGAGCCCCCAAACTTAAGAGACCTCCTGGACCTCTTCTGAAAATATCACCATATTATCTTTTTGTGGCAAGAAGGAAACTGGAAACTCTTTTGAGGAAGCTTGACGAGAAGAAAATCGCCCAATCCAATTATCTGAAACTTCTAGTAGCTTGACAGGTGAGATATCTGCTTTAACTGAGGAAGCCAATTGAGGGAAGTTTTCCAAAGAATCCACCAAATGAAGCAAGAGCAAACAAAGAAAACTGAAGAAGAAATCGTAATAAGAGATGCTTTCAGTAGAATGACAGAAAGACATCACAAAAGAAAGTGTTTAAGGGAAACCATATGAGAAGTAGAAGAACCCTAGAGGACGCTTGGAGGTGACAAGTCGTGCACGTCAAAATTCAGATAATTAATACAGCTCACCTTGGTCTGTTGGTTGTGAGCTTAGACTATCAATTAAGAAGTCTTAGATTTGAGTTGTGTATGTAATGTGTGTACGAATCTACTTTAATTGACCTGAATGTTCCAAAAAAAAATCAAATAATTAATTGACTACATTCACCATCATATTTGACACAAAAACCCAACCCTATCCAACCGGAGGAATAACTCGACGGTGCCGTGGGGTGAAGGTGATAACTACAGTCCCGTCATAAAAAGGTCAAATTTCCTTTGCTCAATATTTACTAGTAGAAATAAGTCGGATTTTTATGTTCAGCGCAACATAAATTACCCCTACCTTCCCCTTCCGACAATTCGCGGGCACAGCTATAATCGGGGGGAGGAGCAAACCCTCGAGCTCTCAAGGATTCGTTCACTTATCGCAGTTTCTTCATCGCCGCGGCTATTTTCAAAACCCTAATAAAAAATGTCGGGAGGCTTCTTTCGTGTAAATCTCTTTTTCCTGAAACCCTAACTAATCCAATTATTCCGCCTTTGTCCGTTCTCACCTCTCGATTCCTTTCATTTTTTCATCCAATTACGAGCCATCGAAGGATGGATTAGGGTTTTAATGATTCAGGCGCATTTATTTCAGGGGACCTCGGCGGATCAGGATACTCGGTTCTCCAACAAGCAGGCGAAGCTTCTCAAGTCGCAGAAGTTCGCGCCGGAGCTTGATCACCTGGTCGGTGTCGTTAGTTTGATTGGTTATTTTGACATTAATTATTTAGATGCTAGTGCTTTGGGAGCTAGGTGAATTAGAGGCTGACTTGTGGTGGTTGTTCTATTTGCCGATCCTGAGTTTTGCATTTTTTTTTTTAATTTCTGTAGCTTTGTCTTTAATGTCAGGTTTTTGATTTTTAGCAGATAAATGCAAACGAGAAGCTCACTTCTCTTCTTCTTTCAAACGGTGAATGCTAAAATGTCAACAGCTGAATGTTTAGGTTGATATGACGAAGGTGAAGATGGACGTCATCAGGCCCTGGATCGCGACTAGGGCTACTGAGCTTCTTGGGTTTGAGGACGAAGTCCTCATCAACTTCGTTTATGGTCTTTTGGATTGCAAGGCAAGCTTTTTATCTCATGCTATTGATAGGTTGAGTCTGTCCATTGTAGATCGCACCGTTTATCGCATATGTTTATATGAAACGTGCTTTCAACAGGAGGCTGATGGTAAGAAGATTCAGATCCAGCTGACTGGATTTATGGAAAAGAATACTGGCAAGTTCATGAAGGATCTGTGGACTCTTTTGCTTAGTGCTCAGAACAATGTCAGCGGTGTTCCCCAGCAGTTCTTAGATGCCAAGGAAGAAGAGCAAAGGAAGAAGAAGGTCTCTCTCTATTTCTTTTCATGGAAAATCCCCATACTTATATATTGTTTTCTAACGCTTTCTCTCTCACATACAAACTCACGCACACATGGAATCTGCTTTTGCAGGAGGAAAATGATAGGATTTCTCTAGAAATCCAAAAAAGAAAAGAGAAAGCAGGTAGAGAACCTGAAAGAGAAAAGCTTGCTAGGATGGTACGCAAATAAACCAACCTATGATTTTTTTTTCCATTCTCCCCTTAATGGATAATTTATGCATTCGAGTAGCTTTTGTTGATTTGTGCATTGCATGCTGTTCAGCTAGCTTCTCCAGTTATTTGGGTTCATGCTATTCTTTACCTCAAACTACTGTAGGACGATGAGGATAGCGAGCCAAAGTCTCATAAAGCTGGTCCTGACTTGGTTTCAAGGCTGTGGGCTTCTAGCGGTCAACCTGAAGAAGAGAGAAAAGAGGATGTAAATCATAGTCATAAAACAAGGAATGGGTTAGTATATATGAATGTTTATGTTGCTTTAGTGCTGTTCTCTTTCCACTTTTTTTTTTGTTTAATGCATAAGCCTGTACTACAAGATATCTCTTTTCACATGAAGTTTGCTCCATGCTTATGGTACAATTTGATATAAGTTGATGATCTGAAATGCTCTTCATGCATCACTAAACTCCAAGAATATGTTATTGAATGCACATGCCTACACTACAGGATCTCTCTTTAACATCAAGCTCAATGTTTTGAAAAGTGGATCGGATCGGCTGGTTTGAATTATTCAACTAGGAACCGGTCCGGTGGTCGGTTCAGTTTATTTCTAAAACTTGCTATGCATTAAATCTGGGAAAACCAGCTCGAACTGTGGTTCATCCGCCAAATAGTTGAACCGGTCTCGATTTTCAAAAATCGATTGGTTCAATTTTATCTTCTTTATATAATTAGATAAATTAGTTATATATATTCAATATAAAATGTTTAATTTAAGAAATTAATTAAAATTTTATAAATTTAATTTTAAAATCTCTTATAAAATTTTATATTAATTAATTGTAAAACAAGCTCCAACTAAGCTTGTTCACATGGTCCCATTAACCATGTGACCTGATAACTCTTCCAAACCAATAAAATATATAAAGAATACTAAGTTAAAGTGTCTAAGTAATGTGGGGCTAAACAACTAAAGTGAAGTTCTCTAGTTCACTACACAAACTATACTTTCTTAAAAATAATTTTAATTAATTTTTATAATGTAAATAATATTTATTTTAATAATATTTAGTTTTTATCTATTTAGTTATTTAATTATATAATATAAAAATCTACTTTTTAATCTATTTTTTAATTATATATAATTTATCATTAATTTATAGATATAGTTTTATAATGTGAATTTTGTATGTAATCTATAAGTATAAATTACATATTTATATCTAAATACATAACATAAATTAGTAATTATTTATATTAAATTTATAAATTTGTAAATTTATATATAAATTAAATTTATATTAAATGTGAATTAATATATTAATAAAAATATCTATATATATATATATATATACATACATACATACATACATACATATATTCATAGTTTTTAAAAAATATTTATAATACTTAGGAGTCATACAAACACAACACTCCTCTTTTCACTTTTCAGTGCAAAAGAATATCTAAAGTTAAAAAGAAATAAACATCAATAAAACCCAAGGAATCATGTAATTGACTAGTCTCACACCTTGATCATCTTCCCTGACCTGAAATTTTTTAAACCGCATATGATGTGCTAAAAAAGCTTAGCACATCATTAAATCATACAACTGAACTCAAAACATGGTAAAAAGGCAATATGTATGTTGTCAGTCAGTTTATAACAATTGTAATCTATATAATCATAAATCTATGCAAAAACATTAAAACACATGCAATAAGTGGCCTATTAACAATAAACCGGTATGACAAGGAGCCAGTAAAATAGTGCAATACGAAACTAATGAAATCACACATCTTGACAGTGCTATCCGATCAATAAAGAAACCATGTAGATTAGTAAAAAAGAAGCATCTATGAAGACTATCATAATCCATAACATTGCAATACTATCAAATTTGTATACACATGTTCAACTATTATGTATTAGTATCAAATTAATATCTTATATTACATGCTCAGTAATAAGAATCACATGTTCAATGATAGTGAGACAATAATTAGTGAATCAATAACATTAACAATAACAAGTAGAATAGTAAAACAATAGAATGACAACAATGTAGTAACAATAAACCAATGTAGTAACATGCATTTCAGTAATCACATCAAACAAATAAGGAGTTTTGGCTTTAGTGGAGGTTTTCTAATAGTTAGTAAGTCAGTAATTAGTAATCATTGGCTTAGTAAACAAAGTCATCACTCTTGGCCCGTTGTCAAAAAAATAACTACTTATAACTCTGAATCAGGGAATCACATGAATCAATAGAGAATAACACCAAATTACATTATGTATATGAAATCTCATTAGCCCACCATTCTGTATAGATCAATTAGTCTCCAACCAACATTTACTTGTCCTTACACATACTAGTATCACACAATATTATAATCGTGATAGTAACCAGTTGTTACCCAATTACATGTTCATATTCATTCACAATGATTGTATTAACAATATACTTGTATTAAAATACCAAACTTTCTATTTTGTGCAAGTAGTACAAAACACAATAACTTTCATTTTACCTGATGAAATTATGAAATCAACCTGTCAAAATGTTCAGGTAATGAGCGCTACAATATGTAAAAAGTTACGTGGTGAAGTCTCTCACTAAATTAAGAGAAACTGCAATAAAATCAATTTGGAATGAATTTAACAGTTGAAATAAAAAATTTTGAAATAAGGAATAAGATAAAAGCTGCCTACCACAATTTGAGCAATTTTCGTAAAAGCGGTGAAGAGAATCAGCGACCAAAATCTTGATTTTGTCTCTTTCTATATCTCGCTCTCTCTTCTTTTTCCTCTCCCTTTTTCTTCTTCCTCCCACGACAAGCAGATGCTGGTGGAAGGTGAGGGAGGTGAGTGGAGAGAAATGACTTTTTAATATATAAAAATATCGTTAGTGGCCTAGCGCCGTAGCGCTCCAACCTGGCGCCGCAATGCTCCAATTCGGTGTCGTAGTGTTGCATGCTAAATCTAGAATTACTGTAGAAGAAAGCCTTCAATGCTTTGAATACAACTTCTGGCGTTGCTACGCTCACAGGCCCAGAGCCTCAGCATTCACAAGCTCAGCGCCGCAACGCTCCATTTCAAACAAAAATTTAAAATTTTCATTTTACAATACCAGGTTCTTACACTTACTGCCTTCTCGTAAAGTTCGATGCAACTGGATGATCTGGAATATTTTCACAGATTGCCAAACTCTATGAATATGGTCGTGCATTTTATTGATTTATGTTTTTAAAATGCTTATGAGATTGGTGAATTGCTTTTCTTCTTGGAATGGTTTCCTCTGTTCAAGAAATTTTGTGAGGTTGACATTTTGCTTGGATGCACTCATGCACATTTATTTTCCCTGTGGAATGTCTTTTTTTTTTTTAACTTTTTTGAACAAGCAGTGTGTTTAGTGCAATGTTCTTGAAGGATGCTTGTATAAACTTTATTTGACGTCATAACTAGTTCCATCCATGTTCTAGATGTTATTCAGGCAAAGAGTTAAATGTGATTATATTGCATATTTGCATGCTATGACATAGTGACATAATTCCATTAATGTAGTTTATTGATTCTTTCTCAAGGTTTAGATTCATGGCTTCTAGATCATATTTTTCTCGTTTGGGGGTTCATTTCTTATAGCATGTTATTTTGTGCGTTGATCTTTCATTGAATTTTACTTACTAAATGGGGTTTCTTTTGTACAGGCATTCTATTTCTCCATACCGAAGCAGTCCTTTCCCTCCATCTCAGCGGTGATTTTTCATTCATTATATAGCTTTACAAGCTTCTGACTTCTTTTGTTTTTGTGTTTGAATTTGTTTCATTGTCTTTGCAGAAGCTCACCTTCAGCTGCTAGGTCAAGTGGCAGGTCTGTCACCAGCACGAAAGACTTGTTTCCCTTTTTTTTTTTGGTCTATTAGTTTCTATTGCTTATACCAGGTGTTTTTAAAATCTGCCAATTGCCATTGTTGAATTTGTGATTTGGATTTATATCTGAGTTAGCAACTACCTTTTTTTGTTTCTGTAAATCCATTTTTACAAATGCTATATTTTCTCTATTCATGAAATGTGATGGACAGTTTGCTAGTAAGAATCTTTTGATTGGATTTCATCAGTAGTTTTTACATTTGCCAACAACTGTATTTGCACTAACATCAACTTTCATCCTTGTAGTTCAGATTGGCAGCTGGTATAATTACCGTAATGCAGCTATGAATTTTTGATAAATTATACATGTTTTCTCTTTGGTTTTATTGTTTTATTACCTATTTTATCTGCACTTATAAAGATATATTATATTACTTGAATTACTGAATTAAATAATTTATTTATTTTTGTAGATGCTTTGCAAACCCCATGTAGTGGTATAAATGCTTGATGTTGTTTTTGTAGATGCTTTGTAAATTGTTTGTGATGCCCGTGCATGATTATTTTGTTAATTCAATCTTTTAGAAGTGTGATTTAATTATTAGGAGTAGAGGTGAGACAACCAATTCAGCTGTAAAAGATCTTAGCTCTATCAAAATGAAAAGTGTGTGGCCAGTCAGTCGCTTTCTGTGTAGGTGATGGTGTTAATGTAATAATAGAAATATGGTTGTTAATTTTTAGGAGTAAAAAGCTCGAAATAGTTCTCCAACTATTAGTAAATGCTCAATTTAGGCTTCATTTAGGACGGCTTTCTTACTGCATTAAGAAGCAGTAAGAAAACGAAGCCCAAGTCTTAGACTTTCATAATGCCTCAATTTAGTCCCCCGACTAATTAGAAAATGTCCCAATTTGATCACAATGCCTTAAGTATAGTTAAAGTTAATCCCAATAGTTAAATGTGAGGGCGTTTTGGGTATTAGGGTGTGCGTGAGATTATATTATTATTATTTATATATTTTTGTTTATTATATAAAAAATAAATACAAAAATCTTCATAAAAGTTAACCACGTTTTTTAATTATTCACTCTTGTTATTTAGATGGTTAACTTCTATTATGTTTTTAATATTTATTTTGATATGATAAATAATAAAAAGTATTAAAAAATATAGCATTACATACACCATAATACCCAAATTTCTTTTATATTTTGTTGTTGGAGTTGATTTTAACTGTTACTTTTAGTTTTGGGACTAAATTGAAATATTTTCTAATAGTGGTGGGGGGAATGAGTCATCATAATAGTTTGAGACTAAATTGGACATTTACCAATAGTCGGGGAACTATTTTTAGCTTTTACTTTTTTTTAAGAAGCTGAAATTGAGAAAAAAACTCCAATTTACCTGTTAAAGATCCTAGCTGCATCAAAAGGAAAGAGTATGCCCAGTCAGTTGTATACTTGAAGAGAACACATTTACCAAAATTTGGGATGATTAGCAACTGAAAAATGTCCAACTTGAAAACTAGATTTTAGTCTGGATCATAATCATGAGCTAGCAAACTAAATACAAAAAGCCCCATCATATGCTTTGAATTGAGGATATTTAAGTCCGTTTGTCCTTTGTACCGACTACCGAGTGGAAACAGCATCTGAATAACATACACAAATGATTTGTGTTCTAATTCAAGATGTTGGGGAATAAATTTAATTTCTGCCCAAGTTTATTAGAGCATTTTTTATTTGTTATAATTTGTCAATTTCAAAATTTTTTCTTATGTATGACGTGGATTAGGAAAACGGTGAGAATTTTTATTTATTTATATGCTCTAACTTGAGCACATTTCTTAGTTTATTTATTGAATATTTTCTTCAAATAAATAGTTAAATGGTTTTCTTTAATGTTCAAATCTCATTTATAACCATGATCTTTATCAGGGAAGGACGTAAATCAAGGAGTGCTTCTGTGTATTCTCAGTCTCCAAGGCATTCAGTTTCTCCTAAGAGGCGAATTCACTCACCTGTTAGACGGTCTCCCACTCCTGTTAGGCATTATAGGTCTCCACATCGACATCCAACTTCTCGATCTCCTGTTAGAAGAAGATCGCCCCATTCTAGGCGAAGATCAATTTCACGATCACGGGATAGATATCCTTCTTCATATCATCATAGATCTCATGCACAGAGAAAATCACCATATATGTATCATAGGTCTCCTTCTCCATTACGGAGGAGGTCTCCTTCTCCTGTGCGCCGTAGGTCCCCTCCATTACGTCGAAGATCCCCATCGCCAGTACATCATAGGTCTCGTTCTCCACCACGTCGCAGATCACCAATACATTCTCGCAGGTCTCCCTTTCGCCATCGGTCTCCCTTTCGCCATCGATCTCCTGCTTGGCATGGGTCCCTTTCTCCGGCAAGATATGAATCTTTCTCTCCTATCAAGAGAAGATCACCCCTCCCTTTATCTTCCAAATACAGAAAGCAGTCACCTCCTCGATCACCTGTGAGGCGGCATGCTGATTCTTATAATTCCCCAAGACAGAGGAATAGGTAATAACTTAAAAAGTTTTATTGTTTTCACCTCTACTTGAAGGATTGCCAAGTGTGCTTTAACACTTCTTTTCTCTTCTTGATGCTCAGGAGCCCTAGTCCGCGGAGAAGTGAAAGCCCATTGAATCTTAGGAGCTTGCATAAAGTGCATGACAACTTTGCTGAAAGGGATAAATCTGGAAGAGCTTATGATGAAAGGTTGCACTTTGTTCTCCTTGGTTTCTTCCTTTTCATCTATTAATGCTCTTATGCTTTTGGAACATATTTAGGTCACCATTCAATCCCATCTTTCACTTATCTTTCAGAACACAAAGGAGGTTGCCAGCTCATCATAACATTGTGAAAGAGCCAGCCAATTATGTTAGTTCAGGTATCGTTTCTGTTTTTATGTTTCTAGGAGCGTGGTTAAATTTTTAAAACTAAATTTCTCATTACAATGTGCTTGCTGCCAGATAAGTCTCCCGGCCATTCTAAGTTTCAGGCAGCTAAGAGGATTAGTTCACCAAAAAATAGCAGGTATGTATGTCTGATTTACTTTTCTTTCTACATGTATATATTATTTTGTTTATCCACATCTAGTTTTTAGTTATGTGATTTCCATTGTTGTTTACGTAAGATTGGCATGAACTTTTTTTTGATAATTTAATGTTGAAAGGTCTATAAGTCCATCCAGAAGTCCAGTTGTGCGGAGAGGGGGGAGTATACCTCGTCATGAAAGTTCTGAAACAAGCAGGGAAGAGGAAATAACCCCTCGTGCAAGGTTGTGTTTCCTATGTGCTGTATGTTTTTTTCATGATAGATTGGGTGCAAACCCAATGTATTTGTGTGCTATATCAGCTAATTATAAGCTGTCTATGCTTTGAAAATACAGGGATGTGGCGCATCATAAAAATGATATTTCACGCAAGCAAAGCACATATTCACCTTTAGACATTGAAAATTCATATGCGAATGACCACAATGTTGATATATTATCCCCAGACAGATCGGCCGTTGCTCAAATCCCAGCTACACGTCATCTTGTGAAATCAGAGATTAAACAGAAGTATGTTGAGCACATAAATTCTACTACTTTTCCCATGTATTGCTATTTCAGTATTTCATTTCTTTTCTTTTCAATTTTCTCATCTTAGCGGATCCATCTATACCACTATATCTAATGTCATCACAATGAGTTCACAAGAAGTAAGAAGAAAGTGATCGAAGTTGTTTTGTTAAAATACCCAAAATCAATATTGGACTATGATTCACAGTCTAGAACATCGGTTAATTTCATGTCCCTGATTTTTTTCCATACATACCATGCTCAAGCTTGGTTTTTGATTTCCATGTATTGTTTATCTTTCCCTTTGAATCATGTTGCAAAACTTGCTAACTCAACACATCTAAGCTTGTTGTCCATGAATATTCTGTTTTAACTGAATTACTTTTGCATTCACAGCTTTGCAAGAAATTGTCAATTTCCAACATATTAAGGGATTGTTTTGGTTGCAAATATTAGGAGTATGGAATAACCCAAATGCTGGGATTTAAAATTTCAGTAATTTGGTTGGAGGAAAAAAGAAATTTGAAGCAACTTGTTGAAGGGTTTGCTACTCACCGCATTATTTATGTTAAGTGTATTTTGAATTTGTCCTATTTTGGCGAATTCCTAATGTTAGGGGTGTCAATTATATTGACCAGACCCGATAACCTGATCCAAAAAATCTAGGTTCGGGTTGACCCATTTAATAAAAAGATTGGGTTCGAGTTTCAAATTTTGGCCCATTTGAAAAATCAGTTTGGGTTTGGGCCCAGGCCAACCCACTAACTCGAAATTGACCCGTCCATCTGACTTTGCCACTCCCACCCGCGGTCATACAGACCGCATTATTTTTTCTTCTACTCTGGCCTTGAGTTGCTTCATTTCGCCCTCTAACGCATCCATCTTCTTTGGTGCCATTGATTGGATCTTGGTCCCAATTCACAACAGTACTACTAAAACTTGTTTTCCCTCTCAAGAAAGTGCTCTAATACCAATTCAATATGATATCAGTGCAAAAATTAAGAAATCCTTGGCTGAATTTGCAAATGTCAGCAAGGATCAAGCAGATTTTGATAAAAATCCCTAGGTAAGACACTAGGGGACTTGATAATTGATAGAAAAATTGAAGAAAAACAACAAGATACAATGGATCTTCGATTCGAGAGGAAGATCTAGCTCTCCAAAATCCAAATTTCTAGCTTGTGGCTAGAGCCCAAACACCTAAGAGAAAAACCAGAAAATCCGCAAACAATCACATAACCCCTTCCCTCCTATTAGAGAATATAAAATAAAAGCAAAATCACTAAACAACCCTTCCATGATTAATTTCCTCCAAAATCACCCCCCTATGGGGACCATGCTCCCTGTCCGTCTGGACTAAACTAGTTGCCGACCCTGGTTTGGGACTGGCTGGACTGGACCATCTTGGACCGGTCTATCAGAACGATATTCCTATTTCTCAAGTCTGGAATATGGTATATGCATTCAGACAAGATATATAATTCCATACAGATGCAAAAATAAATCAATGATTTTCCAAGCCTTGCTTTCCAAGCAGAGCTTCCCGTAGAGCCATTTCACTATTCCGCGTGAGAATCCGCCTTCGTTCATGCGATTCTGGTTGTCTTCGTCCATCCGTTGCTTACAAAATTAAGAGATCGTGTTTGCTTCGTCGTCTTCTTAGATAGTCAACTCATTTGATTCCTCCAAAGTCAAGGGTCGTCGTTAGGTTACAATCTCCTTCTTCCTTTGGTTGATCGATTTTGATCAACTTGCATTTTTTATTTAGATTATATGTTAGGGAAAATGCACCTACTATAAGCAGATTATAAATTTAGGGAAACTGCTTAGTTGAAGAAACAAAGTCTGAGACTAGGAATGAAAAAAAATTATGTTTGATGAAGAGGATTATGAAATAGGAGACAATGTTGATGAAGATAATGATGTTTTTTTGACCTTTCATGATGATGATGATTCCCAAGAAGAGCTTATTAAATTCTTACAAAATCATTATGCTTTAAAATATAATTGTAATATTTTGAATTATGAGGGAATGAGGTATTGTTTACTTGTACTTCTACATGACTTTGGTTGTATTTCATTATTATGATAGTTTAGCTTTTGTTTAATAATATTTCATATTAATGCCTATTTTTTATCATTATTTTTATTTTTCGTCGTGTTCAAAATGGCGTGCGTCATGTGCCATGGCTCCACGGAAAGCTCTGCACCGTGGTGCGCCTTTTGCCGTTGACAAGTATGTGTTGGCGTTTGTGATGGGTGAGTTTAGTAGGTCATCCTTATTTTTTATTTGTTCCTTTAAAAGCCATTTGAGTTCTCGTCGCTTATTCATGTCATTAGGTAGATCTTTGTTTGGTTTCTAAACATGAACGATAATATTAACCATATCCACATACATCAGATCAGAAATTTTCTTGTAGTTCATGATTTATACCACAACACCTAAAAAATGTGTAGCTAACACCCTGCAATTCATAATACATTTTAGAAAGATATAGATATAAAGTCAATTTAATACAATTTATAAGAGCATTGCCCATTTTCATTTGATCCCTCTTGGGTCCGAACTCAATCCAATTCACCCTCGTTTTAATCGCTTTCATAATTTTGACTCTTTAGTTGGTTCCATTTGTTCTCTATCATATTCTTCTCATGTTTTTTTGAAAGCTTCTTAGTAAATTGTGCCAACACTCTTTTTTGTAATGGGTCATTGGTTTGTTTTCTAATTCTATTTGTTTCAAATATAAATGACAAAAAGTTTTTTTTTTATAAAATTCCCGCACCTATATGACTAAGGTTTTGCTCCCCGCACACAACCCTTTGAATTCCCATGTAAGCACCTACGTGATGTAGCATAAAACCAAGATCAAATTTGAGTAATTTTACTTGATTGAAAATAAAAGATGCCTTCTTTCTAAATGAATTGTTACTCAAATCATCACGTCCAATCAAAATTACTATGAGGTGAATTGTCTGAACATTCAAAAACCTATGAAATGATATCTCAGCACAATAAAATTCCCAAGAAAGATAGCAGAAAGGTGGCACCTGTAGGAAGCAATGTTCCAAAACCTCTAGGTCAAAAGACTTTACCATACAACAACAACAACAACAAGCCTTTATCCCACTACGTGGGGTCGGCTACATGAATCCTTTTTCTCCATTGTGTCCTATTAAAAGTCAAATTCTCGTCAAAAGACTTTACAATGAGGTACAAAAATCAAAGGATTCACAAAGAGAGACAAAAGTTAGCATAATAATATACTCATAAACCATCCAAATTGAGATAACTAAAACCTCCCCTTTAACACAATTTTGCTCAGCAAAAAATTTCAGAACATCTGATTGAGTAATAAATTAAAATACACCATATCCAAGCAACCAAAGAGTAGGAGGGCAGGAAGTTGTTCCAAAATATTTTTCTTTGTAAATAGTATTTCCTAGCTGTTTGAAGAATGACCAATAACTATACATGAGAATTTTGAACACGCACATCAATTGCAGCCATGTACGGAGAAATTGTAAGTGTCATATTTGACAAAATAAACTATTATCATGTAAACCTAGAAGTAGCCTGTGTTCATATTCTTATTACCAAGCTACTTAGTGAAGGGAGAAAACAATCATTCACTTAAATTACTAACAAAGGAAGGAAACAATCATTCACTTAGCAAAAACTATTTATAATTTCAAATTCTTTAGTAATATTAATGCAATCGACATTCCAAATAGCAGGATCTGGAAACATAATACATTTATTAATTAGATGTGAGTTGTCCAAAACCTTCAAACTAAACCACAAAAAAAGGGAAGTTGAGTCGAACTTGTGCTTGTGTAAGAGAGCAACCAAGACAAATCCTATGTGTAGGTCTGAAGAGTGTCTTGGAGAGGCAGGTGGTGGGCGCAATTGGGACTATGAGATGAAAGGGTATGACTAGATAACATTCTCAGCTTTGTTTCAATGCATGCAACGACAAGGTGTAGTAGACAACAGATGGCAAGGATGCAGGTGAGAGATGCAACTGTTATGCTAATGTATATTTTGAATCAATTTTTTAGGCATGGGTGTGTGCATGGTTAGGATGGGGTAAACACGTGTGGCATGGGGTGAGTTTTTACAGGTAGAAAGGTATGAAGTGATCAAGGAGGTTGGTCTAGAGTGAATTTACAAAGAAGTACAAGGTAGTTGATATTTTTGTCACATGGGAGCCACAGGACCATAGAACCCAGTTAAACGTGGGATGGTGGGCAAGGTTGTTAAAATCCATAGTCTGACGCATACAATTTAGAAACTTAGTTTAAACACAATGTTCGAAGTGATTCCAAGTTATGTTTCATAAAGTGAAACAACAAAAACTTGCCCAAACGGACCCTTAGGACTACAACATTGAAATGACACTCACTTCTTCACTCAAACTTCCCACGTGAACTTGTTGTCATGTTTCTTATTTATGAAATGCTTGCCTTCACTCATCTTGCTAAATTCCTTCAAAATGCTTGACTCGCAAAAGAATGAACAGCCCATATACTAAGGATTTTGAACTAGATACTTCTGTAGGTAGGCTTCATGAAAGTTTTTAACTCTTGGACCTGCTGCTTCTTGAGAGGCTGTGATGTAGGCAAAGGGGGGGTCAACACAATTCTATGGAGCCTTGGCTGATTTCGGTTTTGAGCTTAGTTGTTGAAATTTTAGTGGTGCAAGCTCATTATTATCATGTGGAGTTGTAGCTCATTATGAGCTAATGTTTAGCTCTAAAGTTGGAGAAGTGTGCAAACTTTTTAGGTGAGTGGAACTTGTCTCTTCCTCTTCTTCTTTGCCTCTTGAGCTGCTGCATTTCTTTTCCTTCAATTGGCTGAAGGAACCGTGGCCTTTATCCCATTTAATTGATGTCTTTTTCAAGATGCTGGAACAGTGGCTTTCCCTTGAGAATTGCCATGTCGTTTGGAGTTTCTCTGTGGCTTTTAAATAAAAGTTTGCTGCTGTTGGTTTTCCTATGCTGGAAACCGAAATTTTCTGCCCCGTTTCCTGTGCTGGAGCCGTGACTTTACTGCTGTGACATTTGGAAATTCCTGTACAGAAAATTAAGGCTTTTATTACTCCATTTATGGGAAATTTTGGGCTGTTTTTGGACAGAAATTTGACAGCTTTTTGGGGACTGGTTTGGTGGCTGTTTGGGAGGATTTCCATGAGTCTTTCCACTGTTTTCTATGCATTCTTCCTACAGAATTCCTGCAGTCTTTTGGTCTTCTTCTTAGTAACTTATGGCCTTCTATCTCCCTATTTTAATGGCTTTAAATATTGCTTTTAGGTGGCTGTTTGTATTCCTTCTTTGTGCCTATAAATAGTTGTTTTGTGGCTGTTTTAAAGAAGTTTATGTAAGTGATTTTTGGAGATAAAACCTGCGGGTTTGTTGTTTGGAAAAGCTTGCGAGCTTTGTCCATTCCCTCTTCCACCTCCTTCGGAAATCCTGCGGGCTCTTTCCAATCTTCGTCTCGTCTCCTAATCTCTTTCTTCTCTCCATAGTAATCATTCCATTGTATCCTTCTTCTCTTGGAAAGCAACTTTAGGTGTCTTGTAAGAGTCATTTGAGTCGTTTGTAAGTGTCCAAGTTGTAATAGTTTTTAGAATATTAAAATTGTGTTTTGTTTTGTTTAATTTGTCTAATTATTATAAGTTTTGTAAGTTTCTTTTATTCTTAGAAAGGTAATCTCTTTTGTGATCAAAAATTTGGGTCCCTCTCCCAAATTTTTGATTGCATCAGGCTGTTGCGCAACCAGGATGCGGCTATCTGGCTTCTTCTTCTATTTTGTTAGTCTATTTATTTCAGTGGATGATTTTTAAGAATTTTTGGGGTTGTGTCCCACTCACCTATGTTTTTGTCCGAGCTCCAGGTCACTGCTGGCTAAAAGTTCTTTTTGCATAGTCTGCAACTGATTGACAATTGATATGAGCTTTATAACCACTAATGAGCTTCTAAATTAAGTAAAAAAAAAGATGATTGCTGCTCTTTTAGTAAGAGTATATTTGGGTGAAGATTTACTTTCTAAGAATTGGGCAGCGCTGACACCAGTATTTTACATAGTTTGTATCGTTAAGCCTGAAGCTTCTTTTTGACTGAGAATGGACTTGGTGATAAACTATTTGATCTTAGTTAAATTGTAATTTATTTTTGGCTTTTCCTCTAAAGTTAATACTTTTTGCTCTATAAGATTATTTTCTATACTTCGAATCATGTTGTATTATTTCTTTGATCAATTGATTCTAACAGTACAACAGGTTATCATATGCTTGTAAGATGTGCTCTTTTTGCATCTTTTAATGCATAGATGCCAAACTAGACTATTCAATGATCTACCTTTACTCCTTTAAATACCTTTGTTCTATTATTTTCGTCTTGTATTACTTTGAAATTGTGCACTTGAAATGCTTTGTATAGCACTTGCATTTATTAATCATTACAATCAGTCACTTGAAACTGTAATATCTTGTTAGGACCTGTATAATTGTTAGCTGAATTCAATATGAATTTGTCAATTGTTTTTACGTTCATTATCTCCATCTACCTAACTCAGCCATATTCAGACATATTTTTTTAATGCACTTTGTGTGGTATGGAGATTTAACAAATCCCTTGATTCTAATTCTTGACAGTGACATGGGGGACAGACAAAGGGGAAATTCTCAACATTCTTTGCAATCACAACAGGATGTAGAATATGGTCCTGGAGGAACAAGAGGAGGAAGAAATCGGTTGGAAGATTTTAAACTGTTTTCAGGAGATAAATCTCTTGAAGGGAGGGAAAATAAGGGACATGCAATTAGCAGTGATGCTCGCGATAGTGTTGGTAATGTGCGGTCTATATCAAAGGCTACTGAGTATGAAGAAACATGTAATGTGAGAGAACATGGCAAAAGGTCTAAGAGAAAGTTTGATAAAGATCATTTGAATTCTAAATATTCAGATTCTGATGATTCTCAGAACATTGAAAAACAACTTAAGATATCTGACAGTTTTAAGCGAAATATCAGTGAAAGTTCTGAGCATGATTCACAAATAGATGATAAGAAGGAAGTTAAAAGGAGGAGAAAGGAGGAGAAAAGGCTGCGTAAGGAAGAGAAGCGTCGAATGCGGGAAGAGAGGCGTCGAAGAAAGTCTGAGCGTCGTGCAGCCAGACAAAAAGTTAGAACTATTGATGATTTAAGCCCCTCTTCAGATTTTGAGAAACATCTTAGTGAAGCTGATGATTCAGATCATGTTGCTTATCAGAGGAAGAGTTCTTATACAAGCAATGCAAAGGAGGCAGAATCTGAGCAGAAGAGGCTGGAGATTGAGCTGCGAAAGAAGGCCCTTGAATCTCTTAGGGCAAAGAAAGCTATCAATGATTAGATTTATTATTTTTAGGACATTTTGCTTGCCTTTAATGTTATGCAGATATATTTCTTATGTTTTATCTGTATTCATCTTAAAGTTCTTATGACAGTGGCATCCATTAGTTGGAGTGCCTCTTTTTCCTTTCGACTGTTTGATATGCTCTGTGTTTACTCTGGCAGCTATGTGGATAACTGGAGTTTCCTGTGGTAGATAGTTCAATATATCTGCAAATCTTGCTGTTAGATTTTCTGGTAAAGTCCACCTTTGCTTTAGTGGATGGCTTCTTTTTCGTAGCTATGAGATTTTTTTACTTCCTGATAATTGATATATTATTCATATGTTATCATTTATCACTTAACATTGCCGATCTTGACTTATGATGTGAGCTATTTGCTTTATTCCATGCTTTATCGTAGTTACTATTTCTAAGTAAATCCTCTTTGTTATTTCGGTAGACGGGCCTTTTCTTATCAAAATTAGACTAATCCAGAAAAGGAGCATTATTTGGTTTTATGCTATATTTGTTGTTACTAAATCAACTTTGTCCTTGGTTGATAGATGAGAGTACTGTCAAGTAGGACTCCGTAAAGCTGGTCATGAGCACAAACACACTTTTGAATATCAGCTCAGGTGAATTAATGCTTGTGCTCTTATAAATTTCCCATAAGAAGCAACATTATATGTAAACTAGATCCAATTCGTGTAATTAATATTTTTGTTTCTTAAATTATTTTGATTTATCTTGTGGATTATAGGCAGCTCAAAGCTCAATGTGGAGATCTATTGTTTAAATTTACTTCTGGTTGATATAAGCTCGGTATCATCCATAGTCTAAAGAATTTTTGAGCTGTTTAAATGAAGGTTCGTACAGAGTGAAAGCTGGTAGTTTTTAACAAGCTTAATTATTCAAAACGTGTTTTTGGACCCATTTTGAGGAAATACAAAAATTATGGCATTGAATTACTGTTTAAATTATTTCATAGTACCTTCCATGCTATTTTGAGTGTTCTTTAGACAACGTGCTTGTAGTGTAAATCAAATTTCCATTTGATTGTGAATTATGAGTGTTTGGTGACATGCCGCTCTGTTATTCACAGTAACGCTACTGCAATGCAAAGGCTTTGTTTCACTTTAATATTTCACACTCATACTAAGCAATTGTGGAAAAGGATCATATTGACCCCTTGAAGGATCAAAATGGTCCCTTTTTTATGAAGGATCAAAATGATCATCAATTATATTAAAGGATCATTTTGGTCTCTCAAGTCCTTAAAAAGGAATAGATAATCCCATGGTGGGAATAATTTTGTTTCTCTTTAAAGAATTGAGGGACTAAAATTGTATTTTAATATAGCTGGGGATCATTTAATTTTTCATGAAGAGTCAACAAATCATTTTGATCCTTTTCATTACGTAATTGTATTATCATGTATTTGAATTGGAAAATTCTATGCACGACTGTCTGGTTTTTACAAATGATTGATTTATAATATTTCCGGCATGTAAAGCTTATCTTTTGTTCTACTTTTCAATGAACGACTTCTTCTGCAGAGATCAATCTATTTTTATTTGAGGGTTTGCTTGCTTTATCCTATAGCCCCAACTATTATCTTTATCTTAAACTAGACTTCGCAACTGCAAGAATTAGAAAATGAAGAGAAGTTGATTAGGGCTGTCTTCATGCACTGTTGTAGTTTACCTACATATAAGTATTTAACATCTCTTTCTCTGTGTAACTAGGAAAAATGCAGGCGACATCTTTTGAAGTGAGTTTGTAGAATTTAAGAGATTATTCGAAGAAGTTTAAGATTTGTAGAGCAGAGTACATGTGATGCTATTTTATTTGGTTTGAAATTTGTAATTACTAGTACTTTTACTCAAAGATCAATTGATGACTAATCATAATAGAACATCTCAAATATATATTTTAAATAATAAAAAAGCCCAAAATAGTCCCTATCTATTCATATGTGGTCAATTTAATTCTATAGTATCACATTTCTCTAATTTAATCCTTCAACTACATCAAATTGATCCCACATGATTCCTTAGGTAGAAATTGATGGAAAATAGGAATCAAAATTGATCCCAATGTAATCACTTCACTATATAATTTTGATTCCAATTTAGTTCTTAGGGATCATTTGGTATCAATTTTGTATTGCTGATGGATTAAATTTAAATCAGATAAATGTGATACTCTGAGACTAAATTGGCCATATATGTATAATCATGGGACTATTTTGAGCTTTTTTGTGGTATGAATGAGGGCACACTTTCATATTTAAAAGTGCATAATTAATTTGAGAATGCTATACAATAAAAGAATATCATTGACACATCATAATTAATCTATTATGTTATAATTTGATCGGTTATATTGTATGTTTCATGTGTTAAGCAACAAAAAATTTTGATAGTTAAATTGAGTAGTGTAAAAGAGAGAATTTCAATATGGGCTGTTGTAAAAATTTTTAAAAGAAGAGGAGAGAAGAAAATCAATTCTATTTTGTTTTCATTATGTTTCTGTTTGTTGATTGACTGAGAATTTTGTACATATTTTTGGCCAGCAGTGCTCAATAGGAATATACGCTGCAGCATTAAAGATACTAAATAATAAGGAAAGATCAAAGTAGGATTTGCGTTATTACTGTAAGGAAACAATAATACTGCCCACTTTTTTGGGAAGAACAACACAAAGAATTAAATCCTTTTTGATGTTTTAGGGTCTGCAATATAATATCAAGATATTAGCATGTAAGATTCTTGCATGAGTCAACTTACCATACTCACAACAAAAGAAATATTAGGTCTTACATGTGGTAAAGAAAGAAGTTTCTTGACAAGGCATTGATATCTACCCTTATCAACCTAAGTCACTCAATTTTTAGGATCAGTAGGGTTGTCAATATATTTGCACCTTAGTAACCTAATTTCTTTGACGAGACCAAAAACTATTTTTTTTTGGGATATGATAATGTGAATCTGGAGGCTTCATGCTAATAAAATGTCTTGGAGTGACAAGGTCCTTGCTTTCAATTTCTTTAGCTAATTTTTTCTTTAAAGAACTCATTTTAGAAATCTTGTTTCCTATCATAATAATTTTAACATATATAATTAGTATTGCGGACTTGTGTTAGACCGGCCCAGTCGACCCAAACCAAAGGGCCGGCTTTTTTTATGCCAGGTGGACCAAGAATCCGTCTGGTGTTCAGCCCTCCTCCCTTGGGGGCCCCACTAGGTGATCTAATTAAGGAGGGGCGGTTTAGGGAGGAACTAAGGAAGAGGGGCTCTGTTTAGTAATTTGCTAGGTTATTTTGTATGCTTTAAGTACTAAGTAGAAAAGTTGGAATTAGAGTTAGGGTTATGTATGTTTTTTTTGGAATTTTCTGTTGGTGCTTGGCCTTATTGGGCTTTAGCGGCTTCTAGAGATTTGTGAGAGCTAGATCCTCCTCTCGAATTGAGGATCACTTGTATCTTGGTATTTTCCTTCCATTTCATCTATTATTACGAGTTTTCTTGCTATTATGCTTGATTTGTTTGGAGTATCTTGGTGGAAGGTCGCTTAAATCTCAATATTGGTACAAAAACACCGGTGTTCTACAAGTGTTTCCTATCAAATTGATATCACAACAGTTTTTCGTGATGTTTTTGGGCTATTTTTTGTGGTTTCCTGCAGCAGTTTTTCTTTTCCGAACCATGATTTTTGCTATTTTTGGGGTCGAAATTAGGATTTTTGAGTCTACCAAAGATTTGGGTATTAATGGCGGCAAAGTAGGTGGATGCTTTCTTGAGGGGAGATGTTCCAAATCAAGGCTGGAAGGCAAATTCTCGGATTTCCAAGATATGGGATCTTCAAAAGCCTTTTTCATGGCCTTTGAAATTTCAACTTCTACTAGATTTGTAGCCAGAATTTTCATAGAGGATGATTAGTGATTGCATCTTTCCATTTATGCTATTTGGTGCTAGGCACATGAGCAAGATTCCTTTTTTTTTTTTAAAGCAATTGACTAGTCATCAGTAAAATCTAGAAGAACTTGTAAATTGTAATTGAATAGTCATCAGTAAAATCCAGGAGAACTTGAAGGTTGAGGAGGTTCTACTTTTTGTTGAGTTTTTTTATGAGAGAAAACATGAAGTTCAGGATTTTTTGATGTTAGGTTTGTTGATTATTTTGGTGGGAGATGTCAATTTCGATTTGTTAGTTTTTATTTTGGCTTTGATAATTAGGTTTATTTATAGTTGGAGGAAGATTAAACTTAGAAGTGATGCAAGGTTGATGCTTTTCAAGGAATGATTATGGAATTTACCTTCATTTTCATCTCCCCTGAAATTAATTTTGGGGAAAGAAATGTTGATTTTCAAATAAATTGACATTTATAGGCACAATTCTTCCTTTTTTGTAAGATAACATTTGTATCTTTTTTTATTTACAACATATCCAAAAAAATGCATTTAAAGGCTTTCAAATCTGATTTATTTCGTTAAGTTTCTTGGATAAAGGCAACACACCTAAAAACTTTTTAAGGATAAATTTAACACCGTCCTAGTGTGAAGAACTTTCATAAAACTTACATTGGAGTTTGAAAGAAGAATTTTGTTGGCATCCAATTTATAAGATAGTAGATAGTAAGAATAGCATTACCCTAAAAATATGTTACATGTTAGTTTTGAACAAGATAAATCTAACAACCTTTAAAATGTGATATATTTTCTTTTAGTTGTATTATTTTATTGATGAGTATTAGAACAAGTGCTTCGGCGAACACTGCCTTTTTGACTTACATAACTTCCTAAAATTTGGTTAAAATAATTTGTGCCTATATCTAAATGCAAGAATTGGGTATTTGTAGAATATTAAAATTTAACCATATTATTGAAGTTTTAAAGGTTTGTTTAACTTCAGATTTATCTTTCAACAAATAGAGCCAACACACATGAATATGATCATTAATAGAGTAATAAACCAATGTTTTGAGATTTTGTGATTGAGGAGGGGTGCCAAATACCACTATGAATGAGAGTAAATGGTTTAGTAGCTTTGTATGGTTTGAGTTTGAAGATAGCTCTTTGATATTTAGCCAATTGACAAAGTTTACAATGAAGGATATCATTAATCTTAAATAAGGATGAACAATGGTTTTCTATGTTGTTGTTGTTTTTTTTTTTTTAATTTTATTTTATTGAGAATGTGCATGTTGCATTCAAAAGTAGATTATATGTGTGAGCCTATATGACTATCTTCCTTTATCATAAGCAAAAAAGATGAAGGAAGGCCATCACTATCTATCTTTCTCCACAAAAAGTTACAATTTATAGCTAAATTAGCACAAAATCAGCAACTTTGTTGCCTTCTCTAGGAATGAACCAGAAGCGAACCTGTTAGAAATTTGTCAGGAAGGTAATATCTAGAGCATAGAGATGTAACCTGTGCTTTGCACTTGGAAGGTAAGAGCTGTTGGAACAATTTTATTACATTGGCATTGTCACTTTCTATGATAACTCTAAGGGCATCAAACCTCCAAGACTCAATAATCTGTTGAAGGTAAAGGACAGCTATCTCCAACTTGGTACTGTACCAGAGAAGAAATTGTTTACTCGAGGCCAAGATGAGTTACCCATTTGAGTCCTGAACAACAGCTTCCAGAGTACCAGACTAGCTCAACGGGATGGGAGTAAGGCTCCATCGATATTCACCTTGATCCAATTTGGAATTTAGTTATCCAACCGGGAGGGTTGATTAACGTCCCATTGCTCCAAAATATGCTGTTGGTGGCCGTGGCTTAAGCTCCCAAGAAGAGTTAGTGCAATGATTGAGGGGTTTCCAAAGGGTGGTTGGTGCTTTTTTGCGTTTCTAACCGTCTAGTGTTGACAAACAGAGCCAAAAAGGTTTTCTAGGATACTTTACTCCTCACCTATGGTTAGAATGCCTTGAGGTTGACACTTTCTACAGGTCCTTACATTGGTCGTCACATGCTTTGTTGAAACACGCGAGAATCGGAACCACAAAGATGGTGCAGGTGACCTCCATTTATATAGTCCTGAATGAGATGGGTGGAGTTGGATTGAGGAGTTGCCAAAAGTTGTTCCTTATTGTTTTTCATATCGGAACAAGGCTTAATCCCTTTAGTGGTAATGGTTCTCTCTCGAGTAGAAATCACATGATCCATTTTTTCCCTTAAAATTCTTTTTAGGAGCTTTTTGGTTGGTTGAAAAAGGAATGCTGAGTAAAAGAAATGCTAAGTAAAATAAATATAGTGTGTTAGAATTATTTCGAGTTTGAATGTGTGAAAGAAATGCATAAGATTTTTTTTTTTTTTGCTTGCCTTTAAGTAAGGTTTAAAATTGTGCAATTGAGTATTGAGTCATTTTTTATTTGTGAGGGGAGGCATGAGCTCAAGGCATTTTGAAACGTAAGTAAAAATTATTCTGATGCTATCGTTTTGGGAGCGTACAACTCAGCTGTAAAACTCATAAAACAGACTATTCTAACTGAAAGTTGAATCGATGTGGAGTCTGAAATGAGGAAAATGTGAATGAAGTGTGAAGAGTTCATTTATTTATATACTGTAGTGCTGACCAAGGATTGCTGACCATGATTGGGAGTTGGGGCAAAATGTCGAATGCTTTGGGAAGTCTAAGGATGGTTTGGTCAGCTTTTCCTAGGTAGGCTGGGCAGGATGCTTCTGCTGGAAATTAATACTTTCCTCCATGTTAAATTCTTATTTTAAATGAAGAATAGATTATTAAGTATGTATTTTTGATATTGATCAGTTGCTTCTAAGTCAGCAGAAGAATACTTATGGGATTAATAGGTGTTTGGATGGGAATTAACAAGGCTTTGCAGATATATTGAAGAAATAGGATGTTAAGGACACGCTTTGCCGTTCTATATTGGTAGAAGCCACTTTTATTTTTTTGCAAACCGGAGTCATTTTCCATTTCCATGACAAATTCTTGGTTGATTTAGTGTTATTATGGTTTCCATCATACCTTTGGTATTTAAATACTTCTGGGGGAAATAATATTTGATGGTTGCTAATGATAACTAGAGAGATATACAGACATGTTATGGAGGGAAAATGATAGAATGAAAACGTAGATGTTTTATCACCAGCTTTATTACTATTTTGTTACATAAATAATTTTGTTTTCTGACACCATTGGAAATTAATCAACCTGAGTGGTTTCTTTGAATAGATTTTGAAATTGATATATTGTTGATATTTGTCCTAGTTCTAATATATTATGCTCAATTCGAGAAATTCTTTGTCCTGTTCTTGAATTAAATCTTTTTGTAGCTGTCACATGCAACCCTTAATGTGTGGAACAATATAATATATAAACAGAATTTCAAGTCTCTATCATTCTCTTTGCTTTAATCTCTCCCTTTGTTGTTTCTCATTGATTAACCTCTATTTTTTTTATTCTTTTCTTTTGAAACATGTGTGCGTATTTCACACATGTTTAATCAAATAGGAAATTTGGTGGGTTGGCTGTTAATTTTTCTTATGTGATTAATTAAATATTTAAATTTTGCTGTATTTACCCGATAGTTCATCCTCTTGCTGATTGTTAACTCTGCAACCCTTTAGTTCCATGTATTAATCTTTAACTAAGTTTATTTATAGCCATTCTCACTCACTATGAGTTCAGCATTGTTTGATGAACACCAAGTAATGGGTAAACTGCTATAATTTTTTGTATTTATAGCCATTCTCACTCACTATGAGTTCAGCTTTGTTTCATGAATGCTAAGTAATGGGTAACCTGCTATGATTTTTGCAGATTAAAAATTTATTTACATTTTAAAAATACTGAATCAATCCCGACGGCCATAATCTTAGTTGAATTTTATGTTTTGGTTGAACCCGAGTTTTCCAGTGAAATTTCATCTGTCTCAGGTTGGATAAATTATTGTCTACGGACATCGAATGGTCGGAGGTCAACAAGAAGGCGCCATGCATTTTTTTGCTTGGTACCAAAAGGTGTTGGGTACCGTTGGGTATCGGATATTGTGGCGCGTTCTGATTTGCCTTCGGATCGTCTAGTGTCCGCACTGAATAATTTCTCCTCGGGCTGTATTTGTTAGTGCTTAGACTCTTGCATTTTCTATAAAAGTTCATTAATTTAAGTTCTATATATGGCATTGAACGAAATGAATGTGAGCATCAATAATCTAAAATTTATTCAGTTTTATGCATTGTTGCTGCAGAGCGCAAGTTAAATATCTTCTCTTTAAATTGAAAGCAAATGGACTGTGATTTCAAAATGCATCTATATTTAAAAACGGATCTGCCAGTTATTAGTATTTTATTTAATTAAAATGTGCTGTCTTTAGGTTTTTTTTTTTTAAATTTAATGTAAGGTTTTATATTCGTTAAGTTCATTAATAAGGGATTATTTTGATATATGGGTTTTTATTTGTTTATATAGATTTTAATCAGATATAAAATTTATTATTCAAATATTAAGTTATTTTATTGAGATTTTGGATGTTTTAGACATCTGAATACTTAGGCATGCACTTGTTTTCTACTAATATTTGAATAAAAGTGTGCATTTACGAGTCGGATTAAATAAATATATTATAACATAGGCTTGGTTCTTCCATTCAAGCATGCGCCACTGTCTTCATTGCTCCGCATAGTACTGCCCAATCAAACTATATTAATGGCACATAGCCAATCTAAATACCTTTGCCATGGAACAAAGGTCTTTTCTTTATACTGATAAATTTAATAAAATAAAAAAAAAAATTGCTTGAACACGAAAAGTGGACCCACTGTTGTACTTTTTAAGGTCCATACTAACCTAAAGCAAACCCTAAATTTCCGAAGATGGAAGCTATTTGTTCCTCGCACTAAGCCAAATTTGTCCATTCCCCAAACCTACAGCCTTCCCCAAACAAGAGTGTTTCCTCGTTAATGTTTCTCTCTTTTTTCTGTATAAAGCATGTGAAGTTCATTGAAGTGTTCAATGCAAAGTTGTTAACGTTTATTAGACGTTCAAATCTCCTTAAAAATTTAATATAAAGATAGGCCAAATATGGCAACGAGGTCTGTGGACTTGCACATCTTTGTCTTATATGATCTTGATTTCCACAAATCAATATAGAAGCTAGCAAGCTTTATATTGAGTACGGTTGGATTTCCATCAAACGGTAGCGCTTCTTAAGTGGGCTCAATCAAGTGCGGACCAGAAGGTTTTTAGGGTAGGCGTCTCTTCTAGATCAGCCGATGATTAGTCATGCCGTCAAGCGTCAAGCGTCTTTTTGAGGGTGGCAACGGGTGGATAACCCATTCCAAAAAAAAAAAAAAAAGTTACATCACATCAATGGTACACATTTTAATGCTCTAGCAAAGAACAAATCGATTTAACATGAAGATAGAATCTTGGAAATAGTTAATATTTTTAAGCCTAAAGGTAAAGGCCAGGGCCCAAAAAATATATTATCAGGCTACTTGGGAACTTGTCAATCATCTTTAGAAATCCTCTCTTTTGAGGAAAAATGTTTGGTGTTAGCCTACACTAACAATCATTTTATTCACGAGCAGTTTCTTTGTCATGATGTATAGTATGCATGCGATGTTTATTATTATATTTTAGCTTAGTATGTAAGTAAAAAATTATAATAGGTGCCCTTCTCATAATTAATGGAGTTATTAATATAATTAATATAATGTAATGATGATAGTACAAGGATATTGTTGTCCTTGTACAGGATCGGTAGTACCTGGAAGAAATACAGGGCAAATACAAGAACACAGGGAAAAGGCACAAGGAATACCTCTGTATATTGCTGTAGTCTTCCTGAGAAGAAAGTATAAAGATGATAACAAAAACTATCCAGTCTCCCCTTTTTTCCTTCTATATGTAATTCTCTATTTTAGCTATTAAAGAAAAGCTATAATAATAAAAAGTGCTGACAAATTAAAAAGGTGGTACTAGGTAGTGGAAGCATAAAGTCTGTTAGAGCCAGCATGTGTACCGCCGGTCCTTATTTATAATCCTGCACCTGCATCAGTCCTCCCCTGCTTCCGAAGAGCTCGACTCCGACGAGCTGATTGAGATTGTAGCGTCATCTGTGGAATGATAAGGCCATATGTCAGAGACATTGAATGTAGGAGATGTATTGCACCCTTTATCACTGTAATCTACTTAAATTCTAGTGAAATCATTTTCAACAGGGTCAGTACCAATAGTTTTTTCTCTTTCCAGGATTTTACATGTAAAGAATCTTGTGTTCTCTGTGTGTGAGCTGAATATACATTCAACGCTAAGATGCAAGATTATAACTCTATCGTAAATCATATTAAAAATATCACAAATATTACACCTTAGTAAATATAGAAGTTTAAATATTAGATATATAAATTTATTAAAATTTAATAGCCCCCTTATATATTTAAACCATAAATCCTAATCATATTCACGCGCTAATCAGTTTATCATTATTTAGCTGAATTGCACGCCAAATATTTTTCGATTTTGAACTCCCAAAATTCACCAAATCTAGATTTATAAAAGTTACTAAATCCTTCTTATATATAACCACAAACAGCCCCTAAATCCCAGAAATCTATTTGAAAATATTTAAACTAAAACAAAAAGCCAACGAGTAGCGGTAATTAATTAAACAAAACCAACTGAAAATATCAGGATAACCATAGAACAAACTCTTTTCGAACCATGCAACATAAAACCACCATGCATCATGCACCCCCCGCATCATCATCATCATCATCATCATCATCACCATCATCATCATCAAAAGAAATCTTTCAACCTAGTGGAATCCTTATTCCTGGCAGTACCATCCGACCATAGCCTGAGCTCAAGATCAAGCTCCTCCCCTGCTTGCATATCCAGCTTTCTCTTTTCTGTCTCATTTACAGTACCATCATCTTCTCGTCGCTTCTTCATATCAATATTTCCTTTTGAAGAGCTCGCAGAGTACTCATAATCACTTCCAAAGTATTGTGGAATAATATTACTCTGATAATTATATGTCGACCCTGGCTTCATCATTGCCTTATTTGCTCTATTTCTTCTATGGATGTTCATATGGCCTCCAAGTGCTTGAGCGTTTAAGAATCCTCGTTTGCAGAAGTTACATTCATAGGATCTGATATGAGATGAGGAGGAGTTACCTCCGGCAAAGGCGGTCATGGTTGCGCTAGCGGCGCCGCCGGGGTCCACTTCTCCGTTCGGGCTATCGGTTTGCATGGAGAAGAGGGAGCGTGATTGGTGGAAGCCAAGCTCTTCAGTGCTTCTCTTATAACGAGTCTCGTTATATGAGGTAGAGAGAGCTGTAGAAAAGAAGCATTTTTAAATTAAATTCATTATTATTATCATCTTCTTAAACATATATTCATGAGAAGGTTAGAGAGAGAGATTTATGCTGTTTTGGAGAATTAAAATTTTGTATTATGTGTAAGAAAAAAAAAACGAAATTATATATATATGCTTAATTAGAGTTATTTATTAATTAATGGTTTTGTCGCATTAGGAGCAGCGTTAATGGATTCCAGCGGTTGGAGATTGGTTCCTGAGAAGTGTGAAATATATTTAATGGAGTGTAGAATTGAATGGTTTGGTATTTAAAATTTGTGAGTGAGGAAGAATGAGCTGTTAACAAATGGGTTTTATATGACTGAGTGGTAAAGTAGTGAAGATAAGTTAAGAATCCAACGTCGACAAAAACCTCTGCTTTTCTTTAATTAACACAAAGTAAAATAAAATGATCGAGACCCACTAATTAGCTTACTAATTCATCCTTTCTCTCTGTATTTTCCAACGACTTTGAGTGGGTAAATTTTCAGTCAACATATTCTATTCTAAATTTTATTATTGATATATCATAACTTTATAATTATGAAATTTATCTTAAAATAAATACAATATATGATTAAAAATAATAAATTACTGTAAATAAAGGTAGGGGGTGTCAATTCGGGTCAATAGGTCGGGTTTGGGTCGATCCCAACTTGATCCGACCGTAAATAGTTTGACCCTAACTTGACCCGGTTTTGCGAACGGGTCAGATTTGTCAACCCGGACCCGACACGTGCGGGTTATCGGGTTGACATGACCTGACTCGCGAACAACTGCGGAGCGGCCGAGTCTAGCGAAGCAGAGGCATCGACAGCGGGCCAGTGGCAGTGAGTGTGGCGTGCGGGTTGGACGGTAGCATGCAACAGTAGCTCGGGCAAGATGCGAACGCTAGTGCAGTTGTACAAGCTGGATCGACGGCGGTGTAGCGGTGACACACCAACACCTAACGCGAACCGGTGGACGTGATCCGACGCCGACGAGCTAGACCCCTGACGCGGATAAGACCCTACGTACGCAAGGACCCCTGATATGAAGCATGTCCTGACGTGTGGGATGACCAAACAGGTCAATTCGAGTTGTCGGGTCAACCCGAACCAAAACTATTTTCAAATGAGTTAGAAATCCGAGTCTGACCCATTTCACAAATGGGTTGATTCGAAATCAAATTTTTTCCGAGTCGTGTCAACTTTTGACACCCCTAAATAAAGGTCATAAAACATCAAATCCGATGATTATTTATTTATTTGAAGAAATATCAAATATATTAAATTGCAATTCAATATTTATTAGATTCAAATTTGTTCTTGAAAGATAACAGTTCTTATTGGAAAATAAATTTAATAAACTGAAAAGAAATTAAATTAAAATTAGTTTATAATTAAAATTAAATTTGCATCTTGGATTGGCTTTTAAAAAGAATATTCATTCTGAGCCAAATATAATTAAATGCAAATCCTAACTTGTAAAAATAATATCCTAATTTCTTTTTTGGAGGACAATATAGTTTTCCCATATAAAGTTATTATTATTTTATGATAAAATTTAAATATGTTATAATTTTGATGAAATGTCCACTTATTTTTAGAATATATTTTACACCCCAAATGCAAAAATAAAGGGCTCTTATGCTGAATTAAATGGACTCAACCATCCTTTAACAGTAATTTTTTTTTTAAAGGAGCTCTATATATCATTCCTTCTTTCCAATGCCATGAGCCATGTTGTAAATGCCACGAGCCTGCTTATCAAATACAGCGAAATGTTAATAAGATCCTAAAAAAAACGATGGTCTTATCAATTGATTATCATAAAATTCAGTAAAAAAAAAAAAAGTTACTCACAGTAAGGGCAATGGTGGTTGTAGCCAAAGCAAGGGGTATAGCAACTGAAGTTATTATGTCATAACGTCCCTTCAGATAAACAGGTTTCTCTATGCTTTGAAAGTATTTCTGGAGCTTTCTGATCCTTTCCCTCGAACCAAATGGTTCTTCTACTGCCATTCTGCACCAGCAAACAATCACTATTTTGCAAGAAAATATATAACACGCGCGTACAGAAATACTTCATTATTGCTTTGCAATAAAATTCACATTTTGTGGATCCAAAGGACAAATTGTTACCTGGAATTGGGCTGATAAAGAGACGAAAATGAACAGGGCGTGCAATTGCAACTGGCGAGAGAGACTGTTTAGTACTATCAGCTCTTCTTTTTCTATTTTTTCTTATGATGGAGAACTGTTTAGTACTTTCTAGTTTAATCTTGTAGCATCCAGCGCCAGCGGTTCTATATATTCTATAATATTTAGATATCAAAAGGGACCTATTCAAAATATCAGACCTGAAGAGCTCTGCCGTTGAGCCAACTGGAGCCCAAATAGATTCCAGATTGGGCTCGTTAAAGTGCTCCGAACCCAAACTCAATGAGTCCAGAGGCTGAGCTAATTAGATAAAAATGAGCTCTCAAATTCAAACTCCATGTCATATAATATATATATTGAATTTTGATTTATGCAATGTAATATTAATACAACTTAATTATGTCGATTGATCTTTAATATTACCTTTATTTTTGGGCCTAAACGCTGATAGCTATTAAAACACTTTTTTTTTATTTATAATTTGGGCCGAAGTACTCGCCTTATTTTCTGAGAGAGAGAGGGAGCGGCACATTATTTCAAATCGATCAAATTATAATTATATAAAAATTATCAAATAAGTATATTTTTCATTTTTTATTAAGTTAAAATTCTTCCCGAACGGTTTAGCTCACATTTTAGTAAGAATATTACCTCCAATAATATTCAATGATATCTTCAAAATTAGAATGAGGATCAAAATAATCTCTTAACTTTTTATAATTAAATAGAGATTTAAATGATTTCATAAAAGATCAATTTAATCCCAATGTAAAAAAATAAGGATTAAATTGATACTTAATATAATTGAAGGTCCATTTTGATTCTTAAGAAAACTTAAGGAACCAATTTGATATTTTTCACCTTTCAAATTTTTATATTACATTGAAAATACCTAAAGGGCCCAACTTTTATACTTATTTCACTACCATTCAAATCGGTCTCCATCCTTCCAAAAAGACCTCTTCGTTTGTTATTTAAAATCTAATAATCATGACAAAAGTATTGAATAATTATTTGATTGGTATTTACATACATATGAAAAATTACTAATCAAATATGAAAGATAATAAAACTTCTATGACGTGCCTATAAAATTCCCTGCTGTCATTCTATGCAAAGCTTCACTAGATTAGGCTTCATTTCAGGGGTGTCAATTTTTGACCCGACCCGAAACCCGACCCGAACCCGACCCAAAAAAATCCGGTTAGGGTCAACTCGGACCCAAAATGGGTCGGGTTCAACAGATCAACCAGTTTTAAAAATTGGGTCATGTTCGTGTTGATCTAGCAACCGAAAAATGACCCGAAATTGACACAAAAACTCCTATTTGACTCAAAAACTCGAGATTGACCCGTTTTTTACCCGATTTTTGACCCGAAAACTAGCAATTTTAGGTCAACTTCGAATCATTCGTGTCAGGTCGGGTTGACCCAGACCCGAATCAGGTCGGGTTTGAGTCCAAAACCTGACCCACTTTTAAAAATGGGTTGGGTTCGGGTTGACCCGAACAATGCCGGATCAATTCCGGGTTCGACCCGAACCCGACCCATTGACCCGAATTGACACCCCTACTTCATTTGAGAAAACTTTTTTATTGCTTCTTAAAACAACTTTTTAATATAAATTTTTTTACTAGAAAGATACTTTAAAAAACATTAAGGTTTTGTTTGGGCCGGGTTTCTTACTGCTTCTTAAAATAATTTTTTAATAAAATTTTTTACTAAAAAAATCATTTGAAGAAGTAGTAAGAAAGTCATCTCAAACAAAACCTAAGAAAATTGTCTCAAATAAAACCTAAGAAAAGAAAAGAAGAAACCAGTTCATGCCTTTAGAGACCGAGACCATAAAGCATGAGTCTCAAAAACTGGAAAAGGTGAGATTTGAGCATGTAAAGCGTTCTTTTTTATCACATTGCACAAATCAAGTATAGAAATGGTAAAATTACAAGAACACTCCAAAGTTGAAGTTTGATAATCATAAATGTAATTTTGATCATTTGCATAAATCAATTATGCAAATGGCACAGTTAATCCATGTAGAGTCTCAAAAACTTTTAAGAGTGAGTTGATCTTAGGCGAAGTTTGACAATGAAAGGTGTTATTGTTAGAACATTGCACAAAACAAGTATACAAATGGAGAAATTACAAGAACACTCAAAACTTGTAGTTTCATAAATGTAATTTTTACCATTTACACAAATCAATAATAATACAAATGGTACAGTTAAAAAAACAAAAAAATAAAGTGCAATCAAACAGAGGCTAGCAGCCAAAACATAACAAGTGAAGACATTGCAATAAATAGCCACGTTGCGAAAGCCAACACGACAGAAATTTCAAATTTTTTGCATGAAAGCAGAGGATAAGCACTGCAAAAACCAACATCTTTTGAAAAAAGTACTGAAACTCCACCTGAAGAACATGCTGCAGCAAGCGATAGGGTTGCTGTTACCTGAATTAGCCAGCATTAATAATTTAGATTTAGCAACTTAACAAGTTACTACCATGTGATCATATTGTAAATATATTAGTATAAAATAAAGGTTAACAGATGGAGAATGGTAGATAAGGGACTGAATCAAAGCGCCCAATCACAACAATTTATAATAATAATTCTGCATGGCACCTGCAATCTAGTATTTATTTATGTACATCTTAAGTAGTTTACATGATCAAGGGGCTAAGACATAGTACATGTTATTTGATTCATCACGTAATGATTATTTGATAAATTTAATGTTGGTTGTCGAGTACCTAATGCAATTCTTTACTTTTCTCATCCATGTGGTTCATGTGTCAACAGAATCAATCGAATGATATAAATTTCATTTTATTTGCCATTACCAATAGCCATTAGCCAATCAATATGATTCATTAGAAGAGAGTTTTGAATTTCAAATTTCAATAAAATATGCCATGTGTCAACCAATATTTTAAAAATTGATTTTGATCCCGGTATAAAATCAATAATTTGGTTAGATTCTTTGGTTTTGGGATTCAAGTTTGATTTTTTTTTTTTTTTGTACAATGTCATAAAAAGAATATTTAAGGCATGAGTCAAAAAGATTATCTAATTCAAGTTCAACTTACAGCACATAAGTTTGATGGAACCTCATTGATTGAATGCTTGTAGAACTCTGATAACTACTAACGAGTTTTAATAAAATTTATTTAAGACTTGGAAGTTCTAGTTTAAATGCTTTACTTTAAACAGACGCCCCTCAAAACCAGCAAAAACCAAATATTAATGAGTTTTGAATCAGTTCCAATAAAAATCACTAAAACTTAACAAAAATATATTTAAATTCACAAAAACTCAAAACTATAGTGTTTTCATTAACAGCAACATGATAAATCAAAACACATTACTGATGATCAATATAATTATCCTACTACTTACCAAATCATTATCTCATAAATTAATAGCTATTCAAATCATTATCTCATAAATTAATAGCTGTTAAAATAATATTTCAATTTTTTTTAATATACACCACTTTCAACTTGCAATCCAAGTGTATGATGGCATGAAACTAGTCTCACCCACCTATCCTTTCTCCCACACGTACATATACAGACAGCATTACCTAATTGGGGTAATATATAATACATGAAATTTAATGGAACTTTGTCGATGAAATGATACTAGAACATTGATGATTGTTCAAGAGTTTTAGAAAAATCTATTTTAAAATTATGAGTTCCAGCAAAAACTAGTGTTGTGACGCTCCCAAAACAAGCCAAAACCTAAAATATTCATAAGTTTTCGATTGGCTTCAACCAAAACCACTCAAGCTGAACTGAAACCAATTTGAAATCACTGAAACATATATGAAACTTAAAACCACAGTGTTTTCATTAATAACAACTTAATAAATCAATAAAAATTAATAATGATATCCTACTAATAACTAACAAAGTCTTCATGTCATCCATTATCAACTATTGCCAATTATGACTTCAATCTTTTTAATATACATCACTTGCAATTTGCAATCTAAGGGCTAAGCACTCACTCAGCATACACTCACCCGCACATACGCATGTACAGACACCCATGCATGTATAAACGGACATACTAAACTTTATTCTTAAGCATTATGTTATTTAAGGACAAGCAATTAGAGTAGGAGATGAAAGTTTATGCCAGTTACTCGACAGATGACGAATATGATTATGACCATAATGTACATAGTATATATGACGATAGTTTGGGTTATTAGTTTGGCTCAACGATCGAAAATTGCATCAAGTATTGATCAAAGTCAATGAGTCAATTGATGAACAAAGCTCACTTCAGATAGAACTTGAATTGAATCAAACCTGTATTGGATTGAGATAGCTCAACATTGGACTAAAATGTATATATTTGTACATAAGAAGATTATATATATATTCTAAAGATTAAAAAAGAATCTAGAAAAAAGGTTGATTTTTTATTGAAATTGAACTTGAATTGAGGTTAGCAAGCATGCATGACTTGATTGAGATCAAATCAATTCAAACTTTAATTAGACATCACAGCCAAGAGAACAAATTGAGCGACTTTAAGCTGATTTTAAGCAAGAGTCGAATCAACTCAAGATCAAATCGCTAAATGGCCCCTAAAGATAGTTCATAAGATTTTATGGCTTGTACCACCCTAAAGTTTTTATGAATGAAAATTTTGATTTTAAATCTTCTAAATAAATTTGTTAGGATAATAGCAGCTTTATGGTTGATATTTATACTTGACGATGTAGAATGTTAGAAAAGGATTATATGATTTTGGTTTGGGATAATGATGACTAAAGTGATTGTAAATTGAATTTCATTTATATATTCAATATTGGTGTAATTTACTATAGTACAAGGATTATATTGAATGATGTCTCACACATGTCATTGTTTTTCTTGGCATATGAAACTTTAGTGCTCAGATGCTCAAGGGAATAGCTCAACGCATGCACCCCATATATATATATTGGCCATCACTTTCTTCTTTTCTTTTATTTTCTTTTGGGTTCTTAATGGAATGGATTTCTATAATACTTCCACCAGATCTTGCTTTAGCAGAAGAGCTAAGTAATACTAAAAAGTGATCTTAGGAGTGACAACAACAAACCACACACAAAATAACATTCTTTACCATAAGGGTGGAGTTTAAATCTAAACTTCTCAAGCTTGCATTTTAATAGGAAACACTGGTAGAAAGAGAAGAAAATTTGGCTGAAATTGGAATTTCAGAAAAGTGCAAATAGTAGTTGAGAAGGATTTTGTAGCCAAACACTTAAGAAACCTTTTAATTGATGAAGGATGGAAGAAAGCAAATAAGATATGATGGATCTTCAATTCGAGAGGAAGATCTAGCTCTCCCAATCTTCAATTCGAGAGGAAGATCTAGCTCTCCCAATCCCTATCCGTTGGCTAGAGCCGAAACAAACCTAAGAACAATCTCAATTCAGCCAAAAAACCTCAAGATGCCCTAACCCTAGGGAAAATATCCTTCTTAAAACATAAAAAACAAAGGAAATCCCTATACAACCCCTCCTATGAATTTTCCCTCCTAATTCACATGAAATCCTTCAAGATAGCCGGCTGAGGGAGGGAGTGGAACTCCTATTCCACCTCTGATAAAATAGAGCCGGTCCAGCATGGAACGGCTGGACTAGTCCAGTGACGATTCTATCACATTTCTCATCGAATTTAATTTTGCTTCATGAGAATATATTTGTTCTGCAAATAATTTTTGCAATACTTGCTAGTGTTTTCATTATTTAAATGCAAAGTTGAATTCCTAAATATGTCCAACACATGCTACCTTAAATAGACAATAGTAGCTGCATCCCTATGCCGTGCATGACAGGTTGGAACAATGAGTTAAACTATTAGATTAATTCTTCTTTCTTTTGTATTCTAGAAACTATCAAAACAATATGATTGTCAGAGGTTATGAAGGAATAGAAATTGCTTTTTATCGCTGCTAGAAACACAGATACACTCATTAAACTTAGATGAAAAGTAAGAAGCGGGTTAATATGTAAGGCAAGGGGTCCCAATCAATTTTCTTTCTGACATCAATATAAAATCCATCAGAAGACTAAATTTTAACTCATTCCGAACAAAAAAAAAAGAAGCCTGACATACAGTATTAGCTACAAGAGAATCAACTTATCATGCAAGCAACAGAGAATGAGTATAATGAGAAAGACTAACAGTTAGCAGCAACCAGCCACAAATCATATAAATTGAATTCAAGTACACAAGAATAATTTATCAGATAAATCTTCCATAGATGAATGACATATAACAAAATACAAGAAGACATAATATAATTAAAAAAGGTTAAAGTAGGCATGAGCAAAACTCATCATAGAGTTGTATGGTTTCAAGCATATGATTTGTTGAAAACTCAGCAATAAATAAGAAAATAAATAATTGAGTGCAAGGATGAAGTCTAATACCCAATCCCCTACAACGAACAAGCTGACTAAAATAGGATTGTGAAGATCTCTTTTCATCCTTAAAGCATAAGTATCAAGACAACCAAGACCAAGGCTCCACAACGCTTGTAATCCCATGGAAGCAACCAAGTAGCTGACAACATAAAATTCTAATAAGTAGAGATATAAAAAGCAACGTAATTTTTAAAATAGCCTAGTAGGTGCAAAACATTGGAGGCAATTAAAAAGTAAAAAAAAAATAAAATAAAAAAATTCAACTCCACAAAATGCTTGACTCAAAGAGTTTTTTCATCATCGTTTACCTTAGAGGGGAAATATATTTATTCATATAGTGCAGCTTCTCTTAAACTTTGCTTCTAAAAATATAATTTTTTGTTATGTAATAAATACAGTTTGAAACTCCCTGAGTCACATTTGCATCCTCTCTAAGTCATCATGAACACATGAAACATACATACTTGATAGCTCTTTCAAAGATGCGAGAGAAAATATATTTTATTTCATACAAAATATCAATAGCACAACAGTAACATAGCTGTAGAAAATAATTCAAAAGATATAGCTCAGACTAAGTTTGATATCAATAGAAGGGAAGTTCTCCTGATCAAGTTCAGCCTCGCGACTGCAGTGTTTGGCATAAGGACAAGATTGACACTCACCTGAATGTGGGAAATGATATATTCAACTACCAAAAAACAAAAGGAAAGAGTTAAGGAAAATAATAGGACAGAAAGTTGAAATCATGATGTACAGATAAGACAAAGAACTAACATAAAAAAGACTATGAAAGGAGTTGACTGGATCAAAAAAGCCAATAAGAGAAGAGGAGAGTAATACCTAAAGCAACCCAAATTTTAGGTATATGAAGAATTCAAATGAACTAATTGTAAGCAAAATCAATTCTTTTAGGAACTAACCAATAAAAATGGCTGTGTCAAGAATTATGTGAGACCTAATTCGATTGATGAGAGTGAATAAGTGCAAAGTAGAAAGATGATGAATGCATAAAACACACCAAGAACAAATTCACCCAATTGATGGCTACGTCTTATCACCATTATTGCATATTTCATTATGGCTTTGATTGCAGAGTTTTTAGCCTTAATCTATTAAATCTAACATAATTACAATGCCCCTCTCTTTATACAGAAAAAAACTAAGGAAACAGAAAAATATAGTAAAATCCTCAAAATACCTTTAATGAAACAACCAACAATTGAGTATACGTAGATTGATTCTTCATAGAAAAAAAATTAATCTCCACAGCTTAATATGTTAATAAGTGATCCACATCTTTAGAATAAGTTTTATTGGCAAAATAAGCATAGTGGCCGTAGACGAGATGTAAGTTTTAGAAAGAATAATTATAAAATGTTTTTTAGTCTCACAGAAATACACATTAACACATTCTTTACGTACATCTCAGACTATCTGACTCATGAATTATGCTAGAAAAGTATCCTCTTCAGCCAAAGGGAAGTATCATGCTAATATCCAACTACATCAATGAGCAAAAATTACTTCAAAAGAACGAATTGTAATATATGTCAGGTGTATTGAACAAGATTGGTACTCAGTCATAAGATACTAGAAGGTAAAGGGAGTCATCAAAATAGGTTGACACAGTGGTTGAGTTCATAAATGTAAAAGAAGCACAAGAGCAATTTGCTGAGAAGAAAGCCTAAACAGACTTATAAGTTCAGATGAACAATTAAAGAGAAAAAGTACTGAAACTAGAATCACTAAATAGAATTAATATCTAGGGTTTAGGGGGAATCCAATTATCATGTTATGTTATTAGCAGATATTATTTGTTTGGGTCCGTGAAAATTTTTAATAACAATTTAATAAATGACATGTAAGTTTTAATTTAACCATTATTATATGTAAGGAGATCAAATGGATAAAATAAATAACAACAAAAGGAAAGATTGTGATCACCATTTGTCATACTATTTGATGGATAAAAGTGCTATCTGAATAAAAACATTGTTATCCAGGAAATATTGAACCTAAGGCAATCCATGTAAAATCAAATAACACTGCTGCCATGGAATCCCGATAAATTAATGCATTAATCTAAAAAAAAAACACAAATCTAAAAATCACACTGTCGGAATAGTTTAATCCAATTACTACATTCCAAGAAGAAAGGATGTGGCTCATTTACACCTGCAATACCCCTTCACCTCTCCCACACCCGTCAAATTCATCCAATAATCCATCGTCCATACATAAAGCTACACCTAAAAAGCAAAACAAATCCCTTTTTGAGAACGGAATCAACAAGTGAGGATTTCTGATAGGTGGATTACCAGAAGGCGGTGTAGCTTGAAAACCCTGAAGCCGAGACCATAAAAGCAATCGATGCGCTCGCAAAAAGACACTGACCCGTCCTCAGCAGCAACCCGCCGACGGTACCGGGGCTTCCGACCACGACCTTCATCTCCTCTTCGTCTTCTGCCTCCTCTGACTTCTCCTAGGAAGAAACCACAGTTTAGATACCAGCGACTTCCGGTTTCTTGTCAGAAGAAGCTTCACGCTTTCGAGTCAACAACAAGCTTCTAGATTTGGATCAGGACAAAACAAACCCTAGAATTCAGGGATTGGAGAAATTTGGGGAGAACCTTTGTTTCTACTGTGCAGTTCTTCCGAATTTCCCCGCGACCAGCTCCCACGCGCTGTAATTTTATTTTAGATTATTTTTTTGCATAAAAACTCCCTGTTTAATCATCTATTGAAATTAAATAATTATTTATTATTTTATATATGTGCCTCAATTTGCCGAGCACGATATTACATGATTGAAAAGGAAATATCAAATATGGCTTTACATGTCTATATATCTTTTTCTATTTTTTTAATGAGAAATATTAGTGCTAGAATTATAGAATATTCAGAATGTTAATGTTAGAGAGTTCATTAGTTTAAATTATATAAAGATTTAAGCTTAGTTAAAATTATTCTAATATAATTTTCATTAGTTATAAAATATATATGCTAAATTTTTTGGGAGATTTACATAAATACCATTTAATACTATTCTATTTACATATTTAACACCTAAAACTTTAATATTACATATATACCACCCATAGTATTGATATTAAAATAATGCATTAATATTAAAGTTTTAGGTGTTAGATATGTAAATAGGATGTTATAAAGTGGTATGTATGTAAATTTCCCTTTATTTTTATTGTCAATGTTACTGTGCTGTAATTGATATAAAAATGTATGATCCTTTAATTTTTTGATAATTTATATAGAATTCTTTGTTTAATGAGTATTTTGATTTAGCGTAATTCTTGAATTAATGACACTAATTACTTATACTCGGTGATGCAATAATTATATTGTAATTATATGTTGCTTATGTTAAATTTCAAAAGAACAAGTTTTTAATTGGTTATATTCCTTTACAAAATTCGAACTATGTTTTCACATATTCCGAATCAAGTTGGAATCAAATTTGAACATTAGTTGAACTTATTCAAATTCATACTTCAACCAAGTTCAAATTTAGTTTGAACGATGTTTTAACTATGGTCCATATACGATATTGTTTGAATTATTTTTATCTGCCTCAATCTTCAATAAGTAGTTTTTTTTTTTTCCGATAAAAACTCAATTATCTTGTCTATTTTTTCCATACTATCACTTATATTAAAATATGTTTAATTTTATATACATTTTGATATGTCCAGGACACCACTTGATGTCCGGAGTTCTGCCGGACCACCACCTGAGTCCCGGACTTCTGCCGGACTGTCAACTGAGGCCTGGAATTCTACCGAACCACAACCCGAGACTCGAACTTCTGTCAGGCCATCACTTGATGCTGAGAGTTCTCCCTGAGTACTGCCTTTCTACTACAGTCTTTCAGGCCCATGTCTCATGTCGACTGTGGTCCTTCCAACCTCCATAACCAGACAACGATCTTTCTGACCCCGGTCTCCTGCCTACTACGGTCTTTTCGGACCCATGTCTCCTGCTGATTATGGTCCTTCCGACCTCCATCACTAGAAAATTATCTTTCTGACCCCGATCTCCTACCAACTACGATCTTTCAAACCCCTGTCTCGTGCCGACTATGATCTTCCAACCAAACAAACTTGTCTATGTTGATTATTATGACTCCCACCATGTAATGCACTCTATATGACAAACATTTGTGACATCAAACCAAGACCTTCTCCCTAAGAAGGACCTCATTTGTAATCAACTGCAAATACTAGTGTATTCATTCAAACTGGGCCAGGCACAGTGGTTTTTCCTCTTCTCAGGGTTTCCACGTAAAAACACTGATGTCTCCTATGAATGTTACACCTTCTATCTAATCTTCTTGTGTGCTAGATCTTCATACAATGCTAAGACATTAAACTATATATTTCTCTACCGCCGCAAATACTTCAGGACGCAACACATCTAATATTTAAAAAAATAAAATTGTAATCATAAAAAAATACTATTCACTATAGATAATCCAGCTGATCTCATATTTAATTATTATTTTTTTATTACAGCCTGTGTAGATAAATAATTAAGATATGGCCTACTATCTCTTCATTCATGTTTGTGTACATAAATGAAGAGAGATGTAAACACGCATGATTACATGAATGATTGATAGTAGATCATATCATAACTTTTTACATATAAATTATAATAATAATAAATGATTAAATTTGAGATCAAGGTTTTGAATTAAAAAAAATCTTATTCGATTTCTTTTTAATAAAGTCATTACCTTTAAATATTATACCTTCTTATTAAGCCAGGTGGTTAAATTTATTTTGAAAACTTCTAAAGCACCTAAAATATATTTTCAAAATTTTAAAAACATCTTAATTTATCTTTAAAAAAAAAAACGTACTGATATTATTGTTATATCTTTAATATATTCCCCAAGTCATACATTTGAATCTCTAAGATTTTCAATATTACTGATTAAATTTTAATTAAAAACCCCGAAAAATAATATTAGGATAAATAGCAAAAACAGCCGTAATTAAAACTTCTTTTTGTTATAGGTAGAGTTCTATTTGTAGTGCCCTTATGGTTCACTTAAAATTATTCCGTCAAGTTATCAAATGCATCCGAAAACCAATAACAAAACACCACGTCACTAAAGTACTCGGGATCTTGCTCGGTACAGCACGCTCGGTACACTCGATATGCTTGGTATTGCTTGGTATTTTCACCGGATGTAATAATTTTTCCCTTACTTGATGCGAATAGATAAAGACAAGGATTTAGAACTGGACGTATTATTAGATATTTAAGAACTCGCCATTCACCACCTTCTTTCTGACCATTTCTGAATATTATTGTATGAGTTTGATTATTTGAAGGGGCACTAATAAAATAAATTATTTGATAGGGATCATGTTATGACCTGTTTTGCATGCAGGACGCTTGTCTGAATATTTTAATTTTGGAAAATTAAACTAATCAAATATTTCCTGGTCAAATTTTTTGAAAATAAAATAATAATTAATCAAGCCAGTGTGTTCTTAGGATAGGTTTTCTTGAGGTGGTTGTTCAGTTGGGAGAATTTATGGTTCACATATTTTAAGAATGTGATGTAAATAAAATAGTGAATTTTATTTTATTTTCAGAATTATTTAATCAATTATCATAAAATGAATTATATATATCTATATATATCTATATATTTGACACTCAAAACAAGCAATTGTTTTGATGATAAGATAGATTGCTTATAAAAATATTTTATATTTATTTTATTTCATATTAAATATCTAAAAATTCAAAATTCATATATTTTATTTTACTTTGAAGCTTTAATACATGAAATCAAATAACCCCTAAAAATTTAAAATTCATATATTATCTTTTACTTTAAAGCTTTAATATATCAAATCAAATAGCCCTTAAATAAGTTGGAGTAGTGCCAGTTGAGTGAGATTAAGGAACCTTTAATGACATCTCAACATTCAAAAAAGAGTTATAGCATTTAATTGTGTGTTAACCAACGCACTTAAACGGTTGGTGATCATAATAAAATCCTGCTCACTGTATACAAAGTATAATAAAGTGCTTGCGGCGTAAAAGTCAAAGAGTAAAAAGAGTTTAGCTATGTAAAAAATCAGTAGCAAAAAGAATTTCAGAACCACAATAGACATCTAACTCCCTTAACAATGTAAACTTCCAATCCTGTTTAGGAAATTTTATTTGGTCCGGTGAACGTACGTAGAGGAACGTCCGGTCGGCACTAAAATCCCGCCAAAAAACTCGGTATTTGCTCGGTATTGCTAGGTATTATTTGGTAATAACGAAGAATACCATTATGTGAAGACCCAATACCGAGTTATACCGAGCAATATCGAGTTATACAAAAAAATACCGAGAAAAACTCGGTATTTTTTTGTATAACTCGATATAGCTCGGTATAACTCGGTATTGAGTCTTCACATGATGGTATTCCTCATTATTGTTTGATATTGCTCGGTATTTCTCATTTTTTGGCGCCATTTTAGCTCCGACCGGATGTAGCTCTACGTCCGGTCGGAGGACGTAATAATTGTTCCCTGTTTAGGGTAAGAAGATCTACACAGCAGAATGATAATAAATTATCTGCAAACCTTTCTATATTCTATAGTCAAATATTAACACGTTTTTTTATCAAGAGCAGAAAACATTAAAGTCAGTACAAACCACACCAAAAAAAAAAAGTGGTCAAGCAGCAGTCGCCACTCGCCAGTCGCTGCTGCATCTTATAACCCCATATGTGAGGGTCAAGAAAAAAAAAAAAAAAAAAGGATAAAGCAGCAGCATGTAATCAAAAGTTACTAGGCATATCTAGCCAATGTTTTAAGGTGTATTAGACATTCTTAATTACCCGTGAATGTCAGTAATTTCATCCAGGCAGCATTAAGCAAAGAAAAACATCTTGATGAAGATTGCTAAAACAAATTGCAATACTGAGGCACCAATGACCCAAAGAAAAAGGTCATGTTGCCCTTCGGTGTAAGGCTTTAGATTCAGACCAATGAAGTAAGCTGATGCAGAACCAGCAAAAAGTATGATGATCCACTTTAAAATCTCAAGTGGAATCACCAGCAACAACTGAAAAAAAAAAAAAAAAAAATTGTGAGAGATGACATAATCAGCACAAGTAAAAAAAATATTTCTATTCTTAAGAAGATTAAGTTGTTCTTGCCATGCCCATGAAAATCATAAAGGGGGAGGACATTCTATCCTTAAATTACAATGGTCATTGTACATAATTAGAGCAAAGAAATGTAGTTTTGATGCATAAAAGCCTAAATCATGAATCCAGAAATCTTCATCACCATCCAGGTAAACAATCTTAGGATAATTTTGTAATGTTGTTAAAATTTCTTTAAATGATTTCAGTGCAAGTTAAGTTGAGAAAATAAAAACTGCTTCAAGAAATCACATATTCCCAGTCATAGGGTAGAATATGCCCTCGGTGAAGAGAACTGAATAAACTATTATTTATCAGAAATGAAAGACTATAGTATGATAGACCTTTTTATCCAATCTCAACTTTTTATGAACAAAGGTTCTAAAAAGACAGCTAAAGCAACCAAAAATCTTTAAAAGCTAATCATCAGTTATTTATGGTGGTGCGCAAAATTTGTTAGCTTTCTTTTAGAATAGTCCAAAACCAAGTAAATGGGTTTGTTATATATTAAATTTGTAATATGCTTGATCTACACAGCAGTGCAAGCTAAATTAAAGTACAACTATTAAATTATAAATAGACCACTTTATAGATATGCGAGATTATTCTAAGTGAAAATTCGACCACAAAATATGAAAAAAGTAAATCTTAGAAGGAAAAAATTAAATTAAAAGAAATAACAATCTTGCACTAAGATTGCTGAATTTAAAAGAAGACAAGGAGCTAATCTCCAATAGTTTATTAAGGGATGTTTATTGAAAATTTAAAATTAAACCAAGCTTGACGTGAGCTAATATAATGAGTTGAATTGAAAATATGGCATCAGAAGTTTTGGGATAATCTAGAGATACATAATTGAAGTCCGGGAAGATCAAAATAACCATTAAAAAAAGGTAATGACATGTGCGTTTGTAAATGGAAAAAGAAATAGCTAATGAGAAAATATGTTAAATAGCTAATCTTGACAAGCTACTTTTCAGGGTCTTGTATGTACAGAAGAAATACAAGGAGATTTAAAAAAATAAATATAAGGAGATTATTCAGAAAATTTTAAATTGTGTTAAAGAATGATGGAAAACATAATTATTGAACAATAATTCGGTTACTCAGAACTAAATATAGGCTTGAATACTTACAGCGGTTGGAATAAAAATGGAAAGTGAATACCCCCAAATGCACCAGAGTTGTACAAGTCCAGCATTAGATCCAAAATAACGAAGTAAAAAGTAAAACGAAGCAGGCACTGCAAGTACATAGCCATATATCACAGAAGCTGCCCAGTTTACATAGTTGACATCAAAATTCCATGCAATCTCTGGGTTGTTCCCATTTTTCATCAAATAAGTAGCACAATTTCCCAACGCAGAAAGCAAAAACACCAGCGTAGTTGATATCCAAACAGGGCCATACCTAATAAAAGATTAATTCCTTCACCAAGACAGAAGCAAACAAGATAATAGACAGCTAGACAACAATATAGTCCACATTTGTCATATCAAGCCATAAAAAAAAACTATACAAATGGTAATTTAGAAAGAATCTAGATATGATTTGTAATTATTTTGAAAAGGTAAATGACTAAATACTGCATAAACCGAGTATCACAAACTAATTTGGTTCCTATGAATAATAAAATGTGTCAAAGATATATTGAAGTTATCAAAAATATGTATGATGGAGAAATGACTAACATTATAGATAGTTATGAAGTGATTGAAAAGTTCCCAAACACATAAGAACTACACCATGGATCATATCCATATCATTTTTATTAATTATATGGAGATAATTATAAGGAATTTCTTAAGCGAGTTAATATGGTGTATGTTATTCACATATAACAAAGTCCAATATTCCTAATAAGAGGTAAAGAGTGGGAATTGTTTGGATAAAATAGAAAAACAAAACCGAACCAATCTTATTTGGTTGGTTTGATTCAGTTGTTAAAGTATTGATTTAATTATTTGTTATATTTTGACTTTCGCTTATTGGTTCTGTTTTTTGCATTATAAACTGATGTGATACGTACATGCGAAGATGAACTAATTAATGAATTTGCACGCTTAATTCTATAGAGAACAAATAATTATATCTTTATAATAATTTGAACGACGAGATAAAACATTAAGAGCGGTAATCGCTGTTGATGTCCCCATCATAAACTGATCAAACTAAAAGCTAAATTACACTAATATCTTCAAATATTATATTAATAAAACTCATGAACTGTAAATAAACAAATGACGGAAATATCAACTTAAATATTATTTATTCTACATATCGAAATTATAACGGAAGTATTAGATCATATGAAAGGGTTCAAAACTGGCTTCCATTAAGGCAAATTCACACACATATCACATATACAACCTTCGAACCAAAAAATCTTGGTTGGTGGCTAAAGCTCCAAACCAACAAATCAAGGTGAGCTGTGTAAAGAGCCGGGCTCTGTAGCATGAGCTTATAATCCAAGCGGGGGCTTTAAGGTTGTTGGGAAAGTTTTTATTTATTTTTTTTAGGTTGTTGGGAAAGTTGATTTACACGAATGTTCAGCAAACAATTTAAAAGATTTGTCACTTAACTCTATACTTCTAGTGCCTAACCAATATTGTAACTTACAATCAATTAACAAACTTACTTGAGGCAAAAATTATATTACCAATTTCTCATCTAATATTTATCACTCTAAGAAAATGTACTCAAGAAAGATGATTGGCAAAATAGAGATGTTTTATAATTAGAACTGCTAAAGAATGATTCCTCAAGGAATGAACAGGCTCAAACAACAAGTTGTGTATCAGCCAAAAATTCCACTTATCATGTTTTCTTATTCGGGACCTTAAAAAGAAAGTATACATAAAGATCTCACCTAGATCGGTAAATCAAAGAAAAAGCAATATGGCATGCAGACTCAGAAAGGCTCTATGTGCCTCAAACAATCATCTCATGCCCAATTTGATAGTTTTTTTAAATATGTTGAAAAGCATGGGTACACTAATTGCCAAGCAAATCTAACTTTCTTTATCAAGTATTCAACTAAGAAAAGAAGGGTAGTTTTGATCATATATATATAAATAATATTATGTCGACCAGCGACTTTCAAGAAGAGCTGCCCAAATTAAAAGGATTTCTAGAAAGATAATTTGAGATAAAAGACAAGGGAAATCTAAAAGGCTCTCGCGATAGAAGTGGCGCAATCAAAATAATGTATTGTTACTTCCCAAATGAAGCATATTATCAATCCACTTTAAGAAACATGAATGCATAGATGTAAGAAAATAGAAACTCCAATAGAACCAGCGAAAAAAATCAACATCACCAGGAATAACACGCCTATTGATGAAGTATAAACATTGAGGACAAACTCATCTACCTCTCATATTGGGTCAAGAACAACCCTATTGAAGACCAAATGAAACTTGTTAACCAAATTCTAAGACATCTCAACATGATGTTAGGAAAATGGCCACATATGAGAAGTCATCCAACAAAAAATCTAAATTTTCAAACCTATTAATTGGGCTGGAGAAGTATCAGCTTAAAAATCTACCTCTGACTATTGTACTTATGGAGAAACTTGGTCACACGAATAAGAAATGATTAGTGGTTTCAAGATGCAATGCTAAAGTTGAATCTGAGAAGTTGCATTTGGTATTTATGAAGCAATATGGTTAAAAAGCATTAGAAGAACTAAACTATCAAATGAGAAAAAAAAATCATTAAAATTGTATCGTAGCAACTAGACTGCCATGAGTACGGTAAAAAAACTTATCCACCATGATAGAACTAAACACATTGAAATAGACTAATATTTCATCTCAAAGAGAAAAAAGACTATCCCAATTAAATTATACTTCAAAAACTCTCAAATTAAATATATCCTCACTAAGCATTTGCCCATAATGAATTTTGATAATCTAATCCATAAGTTGGGAAAAAAATACAACCCAACTTGAGGGATCATGTTAAAATAATTCAAATTTTGTACCCATAACTTTTCCATCTATAACAATCCAGCAATACATAAATAATAGCTTTTCAGCTACAACAATCCAGCAAAATACTTCTTTTTGGTTCAAATTAAAGATTAAAATTAAGTTCAAAAGAACATCGTTTCCTACATGCTATAGTTTAAATACTCTAGCAGTGACCATTCGAAATTAATTGGTGTGACCGCATATTAGAGTAATTGTGCTGTGCTTGCAAAATGAAATATTTCTTTTTGGTCCAAATGAAAGATTAAAATTAAGTTTGAAAGAACACCATTCATGTAAACTTTCACAGCTGCAAAGATACAGAAATAAGCAACTCACAGATCTGGATTGGCATCTACTTTTGTACAAAAACCATCCATGGGATACACCGCACCAACAAGCCTATCAAATACAATATCTGTGTCAACATTGAAATATGGTTGGTACGATGAAATGCTAAAATATCCATTCCAACTGTTTGCGCTCTGAGCATCTTCACCTGCGTGTACGTAGAAGATATGATGAAGCTTACACGAGCAAGCAAATCTAAAGAAGTTTTTATCTAAGCTGCATATCAAATAAAACCAAAGTTCAAATCAAAGCTAATAGTTATTTTTATGGTCTCTCATCCAGCTAATCCATTCGCATGCAACAAAATATTATAAATTGTCAAAAAGCACTAAAGCTTGCTGTCAACTAGTGATATAAACTAAACTAGCCAATGAACTCTTCGTGAAACTTGAAAGTACTTATCTGATACCCTAAGAAAGAGAGTCCCGAAGCATCATAGTTTCTTAGACAAAAGCATAAATTCATTAATAGCACTCTCCTTGAAGACACGCTTCAGAATGGTCTATGACTGTGGCTAAAAGACTTATATATTTTTTTATGAAACGGTATCACCGGCTCATGTTGAAAGAAAAAATCTAAAGCATGGTTGAGAGAACGGATAGTACAATATTCAAGATGCTATGAAGTAAAATTTTAGTTTTAAATTGATTGATCCCCTAGATTATTCTAAATTATGTGATGAATGTCCCTCAAGAAATGAAATATATTAAAAAGCATAATAAAATAATGAAATATAAAGAAATGAAAAATGTGGCATGCAAAGCACTAATATGAAATCAAAGAGTTGTTATGTTATAACTTCTATATTATGACTTATTTTACCTATTAAAATATGTTATATGTGAAATCATAATTTACTTACGGCCTGCTTGACATGTATGTCATATCCATAATCTAAAATGAATGGAGATAGAACATTCTTTTAAAAACCTACAAATGTTTACCATGCTTATATATTGTTTAACTTATATGTCATAGTAACATTGAAAAGTATACTTTATACATTAAGCAATGAATATCCTACTTAGTCAATGGACTCACACCTACATCAACATTTCAGTTAGTTGATGCTCTATGAAGCCTTAGGAAGCTATTGAATGAATTACTAAGTACAATTCTATATCATATTTAGACATTCAATTTGTAGATATAGTTGGGTCAGCCTTCTTGATGTCTAATGTGTAACCTCGTGACAAAGCTTCTAAGCCGAATTGTTTGTATTGGGGACTTAAATTATGTACTTAGTTTGTGTTGATGGGTTACAGTAGCCATGGTATGGATTTTGTTGCTCTATATATATATATATATATATATATATATATATATATGGAGTTCGCACTAATTAAATTGTGTTGTGCTTGAATGTGTAATAGGAGTTTGTGTGAACGTAATGCCATGTTCAAGGAGTGGAGAGATTTATGTTTGCTTCTCTAATTGTGATGTGGTTGTATGATGAACGTCTGACACCTTCAAAGGTTGTGGTTTAATCCATAAGTTGATGCAAAGTTTATGATGAAGGTTAGTATGTGTTGTATTTATAGCAGTAATAGTGAGCATGGTGTTGGACAATATAACCCTTTCTTATTATTATCATGATAAGAAAGGGTTTTTCCTAATCATGTACCGAGATTTTCCTAAGTTCAATGCACTGGGATTTTCCTAATCATGCCCATCAATGTTGATATGACATATTTTGTTGAGTGATATAATTTGAGTTATGGTAAGCATGTAAAGCATGTTTGTTGGTTTAACTAGCTTGACTGGGTTCGGCCAACTATTAGTAAGTGATGAATGCAATGATTGGCATTTGGCAGACAAGGTGAACTCTTACTACATATCTAGCAAATTTCACCTGGGGTTGTGGTGGTGAGCAAGGTACAACATTCCAACCCCTCTAGGTTATACTATTATATTATAAAACACTCTTTTGTGATGAGGGGATCACTTCATGAGCTTTTTTTATTGAAGAATTTTGTTAATTTGTGCAAAAAGTGAAATTTAATGGATAGTTAGATCTTATCATTCATTCTAGGGTGCATGAATGCATGCAATGAGTATTAATATCCCATCATCTTACACGAATTGATAATTGATAGGGAGACTTGCATTTGAGCCAGCCTCATTTCACTTTGAAAACATGTTGAGAAGCTATGTTCTCCTATTTAGACAAGTTTTGCTGTCCTAAATGCAATATTTGTCATACTAATTGTTGTTAAGTAGGATCTGCTTATGAGTGAATTCTTCATGTTTTGGTTATACTTTGTAAGACCGTACTTACTGACTTGTAATGCTAGTGCCTATTATGATTGTTTGTTGAAGATTATTATCAAATATGGATATTCTCAAGCTTTTGAGGTTTGATGGGTGAATAGGATCTCATATCTCAACAATTCAATGCAAATATTGATTGCTTGTGAAATAGGACATTAGCTCAAGTGGATCCCATTTTATAATTGTTGGGTGTCCTATTGATGTATGCGCTAATGAGAAAAGTATGCTTATGCCTATAATATAAATGAATGGAGATGCTTATAAATCCTTTCACACAGGTTTAACATGCATTACTTATGCTAAACTTGTATTTCATGGTAATGTACTCTAAAAGGCATATTTTGTACATCAATCTAGGAATTAATAATTAATTTAATGGACTCACGCCTATATTAATATATTAGACAAACTGTGCTTAGATACCGACTAAAGAACAAGGGAGCAATTAAGGAAATTGATGAGCTAAGTGTGATTCTACATTGTGTTTGATCATGTTATGTTATAAGTTTTTTATGTGGCTGGCATGTAAGCTTTATTGAAATATAAGTTGTAACCCTATGACATGATGCTTACAAAACAAATTGTCAAGTTTCCCAACTAATTGCAATTTCTGTATAGCTTCTTGTGGTAGTAGGGCATTTATCTTTTTGTTAGAGATCATTAATTGATTCTAACAAAACAACGGTGTCTTAATCTTCATTTCTGAGGTAAATATAACTTACCAGAAAATGAAGATATTCAAAATCAGAGTGAAACGTCACAGATCACTCACAACCCAAAACACATAAGCAAACCGGCAAAAAAGATGAGCAAACTTAGCCTAAATAAAGAATGAATAGTTAAAACACTGGTTAGCATTGCCAATAGAGGAAAAAAAATCACCACTCGCATCCAAAAACCGTAAAGCTCAATTCATATAGCGCTACCGCCCCCCACTAGAATCAAGTGGTGTCCATTACAAATGTAGTGCATCATGGAGAATTAGCCTAGGTAGCAGATGTCGCAAACTTGCAATTTAGGCCAGCTGGTCAGCCTAAATAAAATCCTAAATACCCTAAATTTTTTAAAGTAAATAAAAGAGGAAATGTGTAAAAAGTTATATTCACCATAAGGAGTTCCTGGTGCTTGATAGCCTGAAGCAATATTACCAGGCGGAAAGATTTGCAAATTCGTCTTTGGAACTACAAAAGTAAAATAAATAACAAATCAAATAATAGATGAGCGAGGCATGCAAAAAAAAAATTGACGAAATCAAGAGCTGCAACTTACAAACCCCAATCGTGGCCCTACCTTGGCTTTCTTCAGCAACCACTGCCTGCAACGACATAATTACCGCCGGATGAGTGAACATGAAAAACAATATTAGAGAAAATTTTTTAAGCCAAAACAGAATGCATCCCAGCACATTCAACCTCCATCGATTGGAGATAGAAATCCAAATATGAGGAAGGAGAGAATAGCAAAAAAGAAAGAATCTGACGATAAATGAAAAAAATAAAAAGTTAAACACTGCGGCAGACGAATGGGCTGTACCGGCACGGAGCCGACCGAGTGACTAGTAGGCAGACTGGTATAGCCTTCTTCCATGTCGGATTGACTAATCTTGGGATATGAAACTCTTTACCTACTAATCATCATTTCCCCATTCGAAATTCAGATCGAAGCCTTAGGTCTCCTTAATCGTGAAACCCCGATCTCGAGGTGGCTTTCCTGTATTTGAATGGAAAGAATTGGGAGAATTTCCGGAGGAATCGTCGCTCGAGGACCGATCCAGTGATTTCTCTTTCAGAAAGACTGCTTTGTTCTGGGGATGCGACGACGACAAGCAGCGATTCACGCTTTTGGTCTGGCGGTGGGTTCGTTGGAACGAAGTGCAGAACCAAGGGCTGCCGATTTGTCATTTGTAGAATTGCACCTAGACATCAAGGTAACTATCATTGAATTCTTTAAAATAAAATTTAGGGGACAAATATATAAGATTTTGTCCCCTAAATTTTATTTTAAATTATATATCTATTTCTAAAATTTATATTTATTTATATAAAATTTTCATGTCTCAATTATATTTTAAAATTTTAGGTATTTTATAAGTAAATATAGATATTCTATTGGATATATAAGTTAATAAGAATTTTATGATTGTTTATAAAACACTCAAAATCTATTTATATATGCATGCATATATAATAGAAATTTAATTTTAGCCATTCAAAATAAATTGTGTCTGCCCTAAATTTGTTTTAATAAGCACAACTCAAACAAAAGATAAAAGCTCTCAATCAAGTGAATGTTTAAACCAATTTATAGGCACTTGTTTGATCTAAAACAGATAATTCCAACACATATATGTTATTTTGAAGTCGATATTACCCCCAATAATGCGGCCCTATTAGTTATTACTTTTAGAGCAAAATCAATTTGAGATATCATTATGTGCTTCAATAAATGTTGTTCATATTGCAATAGAGTATTGTGTATTATTAACCCATGTACTTATGGACCTACATTATCAAGGGAAGGTGGAATTTTAGGATCAACACAGTCGATGGACGATGACTCAAATGAGTTGATTCCTATGTGTGCTATAATCAACCAAGGCAATTCAGGGAGCAAGGGATGGTGATTCACCTCGTAATAACTTGAATTCTAGATTGTACTAGTTTAAATGAATCGAATATCTCAATTAGTCGCACCACCATTGGCTAGCCCTTCTTAAATTCAAAATCAAGATAATTAGGGCATCAATTGAGAGAAAACGATTGGGATGGATCAAGCAATGGGAAAGCAACAAGCGCATGAGTTAGATAATGTATATTTACAAGTGTGGAAGCCAACCAAGGCTTATTAGTGTGAGTGAGGAAGAACTCCAAGCTATTAAAGGCCATTTGAGAGGATGCCAAGGGAAGGGGAGAGGGAAGAAATATTTGTTATTTTATTCTTCATCTTCTTCTTAATATTCTCCTCCTTATCACATCATTATCACCTATATCTTAATATACTTAAGGTAGATAAACCCTAAACCTAAAACTTTACTCGAAGGCCAGAAATGAGAATAGGTGATAACCTAGTGACTTGCTTAGGAAAAATAATAGACTATATCATTTTTCTCCTTCTTCTTTGTTTAAATAAGGTAAAATCTTACTTTTGTTTTTCTTTTTCCTTAAATCATAGCAACTCATGAGCATTTTTAGGGTTGAGATTAATTCATATTATGTAATAACCCAACTTTTAGAATGGACTTGTTCAACTAAACCAATTTGCATAGTTCGTCACACTACTATTGGTGAAGCCTTCTTAAATCCTAAATCAAGACTATTATGGTGTCAATTGAGAGCAAGCAAGTGGGATAAATCAAGAGAGGGGAGGCTAGCGAGCACATGAGTGATAGCTTGCAGATTTATAAACATGGAATCTAACTTAAGCTTATAAGTGTGAGCAAGGAAGAACTTCTAGATCAACATCATGGGTAACTCGGGCTAGATCATTTAAGAGGATGTCGAAGGAAGGGAGGATGGAGGAAACATATGTTGTTCTATTTCTCTTCTTCTCTTCCTACTAATATACACATCACCTCCATCTAAATATACTTAAACAAGATAAACCTTAACCCTAAAATTTGACTCTAGGTTTTGGAATCAAGAAGAAGTGACAGTTAGGTGCCTTGCTTAGGAAAAAAAATAAATTAGATCATTTTTTTCCTCTTCTTTCTTTGTATATGGTAAAATCCTGATTTTGTTTTCTTCCTTATGTCATAACAACTCATGAGTTTTTTTAACGATTGAGATTAACCTATATGATATAATAACTCAAAATTCAAACTGGATTGGTTCAATTGAATCAAATTTACTTGATTAGTCATACCATTGTTGGTAAGCCTTCCTAAATCTTGAATTATGACTTTTAGGGTGTTAGTTATAGAGAAAAAAGGTATAGATTAAGTGAGGGAAAAGTTTTAATAAGTCAAATTTATTAACATATATTTATTTGAAAATTATGAAAATTTGAACCGGAGTGTTGCAACGATGTTCTTTCAGGCGTAGCACTAGAATTTGACGCGGTGCCCATCTTTCGACTTCTCCTGTCTATTACTAGACTTGAATCCCTAATAGGCTGTTAGCAATAAGAAGAATAGGCCACATAAGTGAAGTGTATCGCTCCGATCTCCGGCACAGATTTAGCCATCCACATCTGAATCCGTCGCATCAGAAGCAGCAGTAGTTATACCCCGAGCTCTATGTTTTATAGTTACTTTGTATTGAGCATGCAATGTTGTGATGCCAGATCAAGTGTCGCTATGCTGGGCACTGAATTATGTTTTTAAATATAAATCCCTCCACTAATCCATCCCTCCACTTCCATTTTCTCTTGGCTTGTCGGGTGAGAAAAGGAGAGGAAGAAGAAAGATAAGAGAAAGAAAGAGAGAGATGAGAGAGAAAGTTGATTGTGGTATTTTTTTGTGGGTTATGTTTAAAGAATTAGTATATATGTGGTAGGTAACCTGAATCATACATTTGTTTTTAGTGGTTTTGCATTTGGTGAATTTAATCTCCCCCAAATTGATAAAAATATATTTTATTATGGTTTACCAATCTTTCATCATATAATTTTTTATGTAAGATATATAGGATTATTATCAGTGTTTTAAATATTAAATTATTGAATTTTATAAGGTAAATTGATAATTATAATTTTTTAAAATAAAATAAGTAATATATAGATTTTATTATATTGCATACATGATATTGAACTGCAAAGAGGAAATGATGAGACTGATATGTGATAAATGTGACATTTGTATGTAAGTAAGAAAGATTAGTTGTTAATAATATAATTAATATGGTTTAACTCTAAAAATGATAATATCATGTACAAGAGGGTGGGTTGATGGGATTTCCTTTAAATAAATGCTTTGTGGTGTAATCCTTAATGTTAGTTTATAACTAATTGACTAGTTATACCAACGAGAAGAGGATGAAGACTCTTCAAGAATTTATTGAAAACTAATAGTGATTTGATTTAAGATTTATAAATGATAATGTTAAGATACAGACTGAAGACGAACTGGTGGGTAGTTGGGGTTAAAGATGTTGAAAACATCAAATAAAAAAATGGAGGTCCTACCGTGCTAAATCATTGATATTGATGCATGCATTGATGTCATATAGAATGACATAAAAGGAACTAATAAGTAAGAATAAATAAGATGAATGAATGATTCATTTCATTGCATATTGATATATATACATGTAGAAATTTAATAGATTGGATGTATTGATACAATAATCATAAGAAAACATTACTGATTGATATGACACATGTACATTCATGATTCATTTACATGAAATTTTTGGGGTTAGGTCTGGATCGGGTTTCAAGTTGGGTCAAGCATTGACACCCCTACATTGACATATGTATTTCAGTTATATATTTACATATTTAAAATTTTTTTTATAGATTTCAGTGATATATAATTTTCGACTCTTTACATGTTACTCATCCTTTTGAGTTATATTGTTCACTAATTGACTGTTAGATTCATATAGATTTTATACATATCATATTGATTGATTGATGTATAGCATATTGATTCTATTGTCTTTCATTGATTGCTTTGATAGGTTTTGGCAACCTCTTGGGCTTTAGAAGCTCATTGTTATGGTTTGATTGACTTTAGGTCTAAGAAGGGAGACTGTTTGAGTGAGACTGATTAAAGTTAAAGTTGTAGGTTTAGTTGATTATTTGACATTTTTATTTATTCTTTTGTAATCAGAAGTGTTTACTATAGCTCAATATTTTAGATTGAACTTTTGGTTATTGTATAAATTTTGAATGGTGATGTATATTGACATATGATATAATATACATATATTTTTGTTATCTTAATTGATATAAAATGGAATTAGTTGTTTGATTAGATTAATTAGGACAAAAAGACGTGATTTTTCCTATTTAGGTTTTGGGGCATTATGAAAGAAGTAAGTGAAGGACTGAGAGCATACAAATATCACAATCCAATTCCACAAGGTCCACTAATAGGATATGTCTTATTATATTGAGCTGCAGAAAAAGAGAGAATTAGTTTTATTTTTTTTTATTTTCTTGCAATATGCATTTAAAATAAATAATAAACTACATAGCTGCTAAACATATTCAAAATGTTAAAATAAACTCATACATAAAATCTTTTTTATTTCATCATCAAAATGTATATAAAATAGTAACACTATTATCACATATAATAGAATATTGAGCAGAACATAACAAAAGCTAATTATGACTATATTAAAATTAAAATAAGAATACCTATACATACTCAGATCATTTCCATTCCAAAACCTTGAAAAATGGAATGCAAAATTATAATGAGCTAAAATAACTAAGCATGTCATAAATACTGATCAAAATTTTTAACAGGATCAAAATTATGTAGCAACTTAACATGATTTCCTTTCCAAGACCTTAAAAAATAGAATGCAAAATTACAATGAGCTAAAATAACTAAGCATATCATGAATACCGATAAAAAATTTTAAATATTTATTTTAACATTCACTAAGTATTTAAAAATGGACCTGAGTTGAAAAATAAATGTAGTAATAAAAAATTTAGGCAAGATATATAAGAACTTCATATATCCTTCCCAACATACAAAGTTCAATAACTTCGACTTGTATGCCTCCCAACATACATAGTTCAATAACTCTAAGCCAACAGACAAAGTTCAATAACTCTTGAGTAACAAATAGAATTTAACAACTCTAAATAACATATCGATTTTACCAACTCTGAATTTGAATGTGCATATATTACCATGTCAAAGCTTCCTCCACCCCTTATAAATCTCCACATAATCACCCATTTCAATCAAGTAGGCACATATTTCAATATATTATATTGATTAATACG